CCATATACATGTTCATGAATATTATAGTTCAGCTCTTAGGCTAAACCAGTTTAATTAGTTGTTTTTCAGAGTTCAGAGTCTCAAGTCGTGTGTGAGAGGTTTCGTTAAAATTTCGAAACTTAGATATTTGGAACTTCAGGCCTTTGAGAAGAGAAATTCAAGATGCATTCAGCTTTGAGGCTACTCCAGCTCTGAACGTAGGTCTCATTACGTTCAGAGCTGGACTACTTTGAGGCCAACCCAATTTAATCGTTAGTACCCACTCTATATCTTGTGTGCAATGTTTTGCTAAAATTTCGAAATTTAAATATTTGGAACTTAAGGCCTTTGAGAAGTGAGATTTAAGATGAATTATGTAAGATTTAGATAAGGAGCTGACAGTTCTTGATGTTTAAAAATAGATAACGAAAAGAGAATATCTTCAGTCAAATTACTTCATTTAGAGTGACGTTAGGGCTGATGGCTGATAGCGGAATCTTGATTGTTGTCATAAAATTATTACCGGTGATTGTAAACAAAGCCATGGTTATCCATTTTTTGATTAAATCGTTAACCGCCAATCTTGTTTAAATCCGTTAAAAATCAAAGGCATCCAATGTCATAGAGAGTTGATTATGGTCTTCAGGCCCGGATCCAGGATTTTGTCGAGGGGAGGGGGGCATACATTGGAGCAAAGGGTAATCATCAGAGTGCCGCATGCATTAGTGGTTTGGTGTAGTCCCCAGAGTCTTCGTCGCGGCCTCATTAAACAGAAACTAAAATCTGTGAATCCCATTGCTGGCTGCAGGTGCTGCAGCTAGTGAACAGTGATGACCAGCCCCCCCCCCCCCGGATCCGCGCCTGGGACTTGGCAAGTTAATAAATGTCTAATTGATTATTTATATTATAACATCTAAGGCCTAAAGAAAGACCTGCAATAGGCAGATTTAGCTTTAGAATTCTTTAAGTACTTTTTGTTCTTAAATTATTTTTTTTTCCCAAAGAAATTGGAGGCAGAATGTTGAATAGGTGTTTCCAAAGAATATCATAAGGTCTGTCATTGAGTCAACTGGCGTGGTTTCGATTCCCCTGTTGTACATGACAAGGAGTAGGGTCGCCTGTCCAAACTCGTGAGTTTTCTCCGTGTCCTCCCACTACTAAAGACCCCTACGCGCAAGCGAATTATTGAAATAAAACTGAACCATATGTTAGTCCCGAAATGACCTAGTTTGTATCGAGTGGACTTTAAACCCCATTTATCTCTCTCTCGTTTCCGAAGAACAGAAATTTAAACTGGTGTGGCCTTATCCCAAAATTATCGTATTGACAATCCCCTTTCCTAATATAATAATGATTTATATCTTAATCTGTGTAAATAATAAACTCGACTGATTCTATTTGACTTTGTTATTTCGATAATAAAACAAATGAAGTCTAAATGAAGTTGAGCCATATGTCCAGTTTTGACCACATGGTTAGTTTTCAGCATGTGGAATGGAAATGAAATGGGGTTAACATCCTACTTTCCTGCATACTCCTCGCAGTGTTTCGTTTGATTAGAGCTAATCCCACTACTCACTGCTGTAAACAAAGCAAATTCTTGTTCTAAATTATGACTGGTCAATAGTCCGATTAACAACCAATAGCTTACTGCGTAACAATACCAAACAGAGCTCCAAATTGGACCAAATATGTTTACATAACGTTACGTCATGACTTACGATTTTATTATGCCCAATTAACAAGTGCATAGCAGAATATTGCAGAAAAACTAATTGTGTGACAAACAAGGCTATCAACTGTTAGTGGATATAAAGTAAACTATATTGTTTTGAGACGAACAACACTTTCACCGTTTTTAATTAAATCACTGTCCAAAGTTTTAGGGAAGACCCCTGATTAAACGAAGGGCTGTCATGTTGCTGTGCTTTTGGGTAGATTTGATTGAACGGGAAGAATAGACACACTCCCTCAAAAGCGCAAGTATCAGAAGCCAATCCAGCAATGGCCCGAGAGGGATTTCTCGGGCCATTACTTCAGGAATATGACTTTTTTGTGGCTATGAGGGAAATTTTGTTTAAACAGCGGCACTACGGTCAACTCTTATTTTGAATTCCAACTGTCAAGGGTTCTTTTAGGTACATGTATATGTCAATGTGTACACAGCACCTCTTTTTTGGTCCCATCTGAATGACTAGACACTGTCATTGTCAGGCACTCCATCCTGCACCACTGACAAGGGGAAATCTCCTTGTCAGCAAGCCAGTAGTTGTCATCATTATGTTATACCGTTAATCTACATAATCACAAAGAAGGTTGAGGGATTGCAGATTCACCCAGTCTCCGCCCATCGTGCCGCTCGATGCCTAGACCGATCACCGTCTGGAACTTCACATAAAAGGCTGAGGGATAGCTCAGTCTCTGCCCTCGCGCCGCATGATCGATTACCATGAAAATTTCATCTGGAAATGAAATGGGGTTTAACGTCCTGCTGTTCTTTTCCTAACCTGGGCTAATGAAGACGGGCGTACACCATACAGTGTGCTATGAGGGAAATTTTGCCCAGGCAGCGGCGCTACAGCCTACTCTTATATCGAATTCCAACTGCCAGGGGATCTTTTACGTGCATTCCAATATATACACGGGACCTCTGTTTTTCCGTTTCATCCGATGGACTAGACAGCTGTCCTTGTCAGGCCCTTCCGTTCTGCACCACTGACAAGGGGAAACCACGTCTGAAAAGCCCGATGAACTTTCTCGGCCAATGCAGGGATCGAACACCGGAAATGAAATGAATGTGGTTAACGTCATACTTTTCTGTGGCTATGAGGAAATTTTGTCCAAACTGTGGAGCTACGGCCTACACTGTCAAGTGTTCTTTTATGTGTATGTCAATGTGTACACAGGACCTCTTTTTTTGTCCCATCTGAATGACTAGACACTGTCATTATCAGGCACTCCATCCTGCACCACTGACAAGGGGAAATCTCCTGGTCAGCAAGCCAGTAGTTATCATGATTATGTTATACAGTTAATCCACATAATCTAATCATTCAGTGGAATTTAATGATTAGTAACATATCAAAACTAAAACAGCTATATGGGACAACAATCACTGGTTTATTATATACTAGCAGGATACCCGGCTTCGCTCGGGGGTCATAACTCCGAAACAGGAAGTGGTAGACTAACGCCACCTGGCCTATGTTACTCCCCGGTCCGAGCTACCCCTATACCCCAAATTTCAGACTCGGGGCAGACCTAGTGTAGCCGCCAACCCCGAACAGACAGGCAGACAGACAGACAAACGACATGTACATGTACAATGTGAAGCCATATGTAATTACTAAATGTCATTGTACTTGTTAACGATAAGAGAATACTTATCGAAACGTAGTGCTTGTGTATAATTAACCAGTGATTGTTTCCCATATAACTGTGTTAGTTCTGATTCTAAGAATGTTTCTCTTTAATTACAAAAAGTCTATGAAGGACAATAACTCTGTAGATAAATGAGGAAAGGGGGGTTTTATGTTCATGGATAATATGATTAAACCAGACAAGTTTCATTCATTGTAACTTTTCTCTATAATGTTTTTACAAGGCTTGTGTGGCTATAATCAGATTAGTGTATTGATTAATGGTTAATATCGTCTTTATCATAAAATTATAAATCAAACCAGTCAAGCTTTGTAAAAAAAAGTCATTTTATCTGTAATGTGTTTTATAATTTTTTTTTATGGTAATGTAACCTTTTTTTTATACATCTGGATAAGAATTGATTCCAACAGCAACATCATTAAAACAAACTAAAATGACAGAACAATATGTGTATTCTAATGGAGAGATGGAGTTTATTCACTCAACACAAACTGGGTAATTTCGGGACTAACATATGGTTCAATTTTATTTCAATAATTTGCTTGCGCGTATGAAACCAGAGGATCTGAGAAAACCCAGGAGGTTGGACAGGCGACCCTACTCCTTGTCACATACAACCGGGGAATCGAAACCGTGCCAGCTGACTCAATGACAGACTTTATGATACAACGTGCACACACTAACCATTCTACTAAAAAGGGGTGACAGTAAGTCAAGAACATAAACAGAGTTTGGGCATGTCATTATTGTTGATGATTTTGAGTTTGGGTAAGGGTTATAACTAGGTCTTTGGTTAGGGTTAACGTGACCATGACAAAATCTGCAGGTGGCTTTAATATTTAGATCTAACCCTGTTTTGGAGACCGATGTTCTGGCCAGTGCTGGACTGACCTCAAGATCTAGTCTTTGATCGAAGTATATAATATTTTTGACAATGTCATAAGAGAGTCCACTTGACGCAAACCAGGTCATTTCGGGAATAACACATTGTTCAATTTTATTTCAATAATTCGCTTGCGCATAGGGGTCTTAAGCAGTGGGGGGGAACCAGAGTACCTGGAGAAAACCTATGCGATTGGACAGGCAGGCGACCCTACTCCTTGTCGCATACGACAATGTCATAAGACTTTCTTATATGTACTGTAGTCTTAATCATCAAGGGGGGTTGGATGGCTGAATGGTTAGCACGTGTGCGCTGTACCATAAAGTCTGTCATTGAGTCAACTGGCGCAGTTCCGATTCCCCGGTTGTACGTGACAAGGAGTAGGGTTGCCTGTCCAACCTCGTGTGTTTTCTACGGATCCTAGGGTTTCCTCCCACTGCTAAAGACCCCTATGCGCAAACGAATTATTGAAATAAAATTAAACCATGTTAGTCTCGAAATGACCTGGTTTGTGTTGAGTGGACGTTACCCCCCTCTCTTAATCATCTTCAGCTGTGTTGGCTAAGTGGGTAAGACTCTGTCTCGCTAGCGTGTTCATTCCCTGCATTGGCCGAGAAAGTTCATCAGGATGGTTTACCCTTGTCAGTGGTGGAGGACGGAGGGCCTTACAAGGACAGCTGTCTAGTCATTTGGATGGGATGAAAAACCGAAGTCCTGTGTTTATCATATATTTCCTTTTAAATAAACAAACTACAGAGATGATAATATTTTTTTATTTATAACAATTAGTATACAAAACACTGGGATCACTTTATATTAGGCCAAGAAAACAAAAATACCTGTGTTTACTTGGGTTTTGTTTAACTAAGTTTCTTGAAAATAATACTGAAATTTCAGTGTTGGAATTTGTCCAGAGAAAAGTACACCAAGACGAAGTTATAGAACCTGGGAAATGAGAAAAAAAAACACCTCAGGGTCTGCAATTTCGGGGAAAAAATAGAGACCGGTTTGATAACCATAAACACAGATATTTTTTTTATTGTGGCCTAATTAATACAACAATTGTTACAATGTATGCTGCATTTACTATAAACATTTATTAAAGCACTGGGCAAATATTTTAACATGCAGCATAGACAGAATGAGGTTTCGTTACAGTTCTATTACACCTAAATCATAAATGAAATAAAATGGGGTTTAACGTCCTATTACTCTTCACCTGGGTGAATGAACTTTTGATCTTGATAAATGGACAAGTTATTATATTTGAATGAATGTTACAAGAGGATGAAAATATTTACGCGATATGATTTAAAATGTGAACAGAACAAAATGAATGATTCGCAATAATATATACAAAAAGAAAAGTGATTTTCAAAAGAAAATCAAATTGAAAAGGCTAATATACAAATGTCTGAAATGATCAAATCTTTTTTCTATTTCTTATATACAAAGCTAGTCTTTAAAGCACTATACAATGTTAATGTATGTTATGAATAACTTCAGGCATCAATAACACAAGTAACAATTAAAGATGGGTTCCCAGAAAAGTATTTATCGGGTGGTTATTTCCAATAAAAGTATGGCAATTTTGGTATATATGGAAAGTAGAGATATCCAATCTTACTAGAAAAATACTGGATTCCCCGAAAAACACTCATGGAGCGTATACAGGACAAAAATGTAAGGGTTCCCCTAATCAACAGCCCGACGATTAAGAACTTCTGCACGCGTGATGTCAAAGGTCACAAGCGAACATTGAGCGCTTGATGTACAAGTAGATAAACTTTATGAAGAGTTAAACGTACAATACTTTCTGAGATAAAAATGACGGAAAAAGACACGGGTAGTGGATAATCCGAGAATTTAATTAGGATTCGATATTTGTAATAAATAGTAAGCAATTAAAGACAACATCGTCTTATGTATGCAATGAATTCTCCTCTGATTCCCAAGATGTGACGTAAACATGACCTGGTTTGATCGAATTTTAATAGCAGGGCATTCCTTCGCAATTACAATGTTTGAGAAGGATTTGAAGCATAATTATGACAAATTAATTAGTTTGAATATGTTTTTGGTCCATATATACCATTAAATCACCGAGTTTGTACGCGGGAACCCATCTTTAAATGGGATACAAGTTACTTGAAAGATCTGCTTGATAAAGACAAGAGAACACTTGTATTCCATATAATTGTTTAAGTGGCATTTAGTAACTGGATGAGAATAACATATGACACAATTATTTAGAATACAAGTTACTTGAAAGGTTGGCTTAATCAAGACAAGAGAACCCTTGTCCAAACATCACCAGAAATGAATTTTTCAAGCATAACTTGTATTCTATATAATTGTGTCATGTGTTATTCTCATCCAGATACTAAATGCCACTTAAACAATCCAGTCATCAAGTTTAATCTGTTATGAACATATAAATGTTAGAAATGTTATGAACATCTCCAGCCATCAAGATTTAATCTGTTGTACGTCTAAAAATGTGCTGAAACTCTTTCAATTTCCATGAGATCATCAATTAACTAAAAAATAAAACAAATTTGTTTTTAAAACTACCACATTCAAAATTATATGAAAGGGTGAGACAGAGATGGGATTTAATGTCACAAGTAGGTCATTTTGGGACTAACATATGATTCACTTGACTGAATGACAGACCTTATGATCCAAAGCACACAGGTTGAATCATTCCCCCTCCCCCCGGGGGGGTTGGATGGTCGAACGGTTAGTGTGTGCGCACTGTATCATACGGTCTGTCATTGAGTCAACTGGCGTGGTTTTGATTCCCCGGTTGGACATGACAAGGAGTAGGGTCGCCTGTCCAACCTCTTGGTTTCCTTCGGGTCATCTATTTTTTTTTTACCACTACTACAGACCTCTATAATGCGCAAGAGAATTATTGAAATAAAATTGAAACATATGTTAGTCCGAAAATGACCTAGTTTGTGTCAAGTGGATCTTAAACACCATTTCTCTCTTCTTTCTCTGATTATGCTGTACCATGGAAATGACCAATCATAGAGCTTGTAACAAATCATTACATGGCAACTCCATCTGAGATCTTTGGGATATAAAAATATGTGTACACAGGGCCTTGGTTTTTCGACCCATCCGAATGACTAGACAGCTGTTTCACTGACAAGGAGGAACCACGCCAGAAAATCTGGATGAATTTTCTCGGCCAATGCAGGGATTGAACACCTGACCTCCAGGCTAGCGAGCCAGCGTCTTATCCACTCAGCCACCGTGACCCCCACGTCCAGATGGACAGGGGTGACAGCATAACATGTCCATATGAAAGTACGTATACAATAAATAATATAATACAATATCAAAAAACCATTGTTTTATCCGTTTTGTCAACCCTGAAGAAATTAGTTTTTTTACTGACGAAACGTTGAATAAAATGATGGTGTTTGATATTGTATTCTATTGATTGTAAGTTTCTCACATGAAAGTGTGGGTGTATAACAACTTGTACTAACTAATCTTAATCTGTTGACCAATCACTGTTTAATATAAATGTTGGCCGGAATCTCCCAACCCAAACGTGTGGGAAGTTAGGATGAGGGAGGCAATTTATATTATCCCCTGAATCGTTAAATCTACTCCCAAAACAAACTAATAGTAAGACTATCAAGTTCTTCTTTTGATCATTTCCGTGGTTGTAAATAGAAATCAAACATGATTTAAGTGTGAAAAAAAAAACTGCAGTCAGGCCACAACAATTTGATTTTCTGTTCTTCAGGTTCTTGATAAATAAATAGCCTTTTGAAATGTGAAAACAGAAATGGGTTTTAACCTCCACTCGACACAAATTAGGTGATTTTGGGACTGACATATGGTTCAATTTTATTTCAATAAATAAAATTTATCCAGGGTCCAGAAGAAAACCCACGAGGTTGGACAGGCGACCCTATTCCTTGTCAAGTACAAGTGGGGGGTCAAAGTGACAGACTTCGTGATCTAATGCGCATTCGTTAAACCATTTGATCACTAACTCACTCCCCCCCCCCCCACAAGTGACAGATAGTTTAATATTTCAAAACAGAAAAATTTGAAACTAACAGATTTTAAACAACACAAACAAGTAGGTTGGACTGGCGATCCAACTTCTTGTCACATATAACTGGGGAATCGAAACCACGTCAGTTGACTAAATGACAGACCTTATGACACAATGCGCACGTTCCACCCAACCCCCCTTTTTCCGAAGAACAAAAAATCAAATAGCTTTGGCCTAACTAAGAAACCAGTGCAGTAATTTTGTTTTCTTTGACCAATTTCCAACATATGAAAAGAGCTGTAGGTGTAATACGATAAAGGTGCAATATTAACAATAACTCATGTTTGATTCTTTCAACATTGATATGATATCAGGTGCAAATATTCTGTGCTATTTTTAGAAGTAAGGATTGTTAAAAGTTTTTTGTGCATTCTAGAAAAAAACCCAAAATAATCTGAATAACGTATATTTAATAACTGTTTATTGTAAATAGTTCACATGGGTTTTGATGTATCAATTAATTCAGTTTTAAAATAAAGATAGGTTGCCAGGCAATGGAACTTATGCCCACAGTAGCCAAGTTGTCCACCGGTCCATAAAGGTTGTCGCATATTAATTTTTTGGGAGACAAAAACTAAAATGAAATGAAATGGGGATTGGTTCATAGAACCAAACTATAATCAAGGGTAGATAATTTGAATACGGCAATACCCCAGTATAGTGGAGTAGAACGGAATGAGACCACTGAGGATACTGCGGATGGGATAAATCAGGCTTTTGACAATATACAAGCACATGTCAATGTGGATGTATAAAAATTTAATTTAACCAAGCATATATTAACCTTTTAAGTGCTTAGGTCATTATATAACGTCCTGGACAACTGCCACTCACTGTGTGTAGGCGTAATATAATGCCATGGAGGTATTTTCCCCAACCTATTCTTAGAACATAGTTCGTCACTTGGGGGAATCCCTTGGCAATTCCCCCACGATCGCAGCATGTGTAGGACGTTATATTACGTCCTGGACAACTGCCACTCACTGTGTGTAGGGTGTAATATAATGCCTTGGAGGTATTTTCCCCAATCTATTCTTAGAACATAGTACTTCGTCCCTTCGTCAAATTAATTACACAATAGTAGGTAGTTAACATTTTAAAAAAACGTCACACTTAACGGGTTAATGAATGTAAGTGTATTTTTACCTGATCTGTAGAAGTACCAATTCTTTTAGAGACTTCATTTCTTTCATTATAACTTAGATGTAAAAATTTCCATAATAATTCTCCATCTAATACATTCTTACATGGATTACACAGTTCAGGTGTGGTAGTCTGGACAGCTCTATAAATTATTTATATATAGGTATAAAAAACTAAACTATTTAAAGAATTCAGGATTTTCATTGGCCGAGAATTAAAATTCTAGTACAAATATCTGCTTTTAGCCAATGAAATGGCAGCATTCTTAAAATATTATAGGTCTAAATTTTGTGAATAAGACTCCAGATTTCTTTTTTATTTCCAAAATAAGACTACTGATGGTATGACAGCAATAGAAAGTAATGTGAAATTTAGATGGCTATAATTTACAGATCCAGAATTACCAATAGGCATCATGAGCCATAGACCTAAGGTTCACTGAAACTAATTCGTTGCCCCTATACAATAAGTATTTTAATGGTCGAGTGTGAGACATTAATTAATATATTGATACTGCTCGAGTGCGTTTAGTACAAGGACTATATCTTTATATTATACAATGTCAAACACGAGACCATTAAACAACTTAAAATACAGACACTATCCAGACGTGCATTTCAATGAAATGCGTCACACAGGTCCAAAATTTCAACTAGTATAAATAATGTAGGCTTGGCACATTGCCTGTATCATTATGTGAAATAATGGTACGTCATATCAAAGGATGACGTCACATCTGTATTTTAAATATATATATGGCCAGGATTATGGGGTACCTGTACGATTAGTATATACAAGGCCAGGATTACGGGGTACCTGTTACAGTAAGTATATAGGGCTAGAATTATGAAGCCTCTTTAAAATAAGTATATGACACAGAGTAGGCATATAGATTTGAGGGCCCACTGATTGGTTTGGCCTATGGCCCACAAGTAAGTAATCTGGCCCTTATTAGGATTGTTGGATATTTATAATTTTTGGATCAATATGATGTTTTGTCTGGAATATTGTGGTGTGAATTCAGTGACTCAAATATTACTTTCAATTTCACCCTTACTCCAGGACAAAATTATTATGAACACTGTATTATAAAAAAAAAATCCATTTTTTTTATTTCTGGGTGGAAAATTTAGGGTAAACATTTTTTTTTCATTTCTGGGTGAAAAATTTAGGGTTAACATTTTTTTCCTCAGCTTTTTTATTTCTCAGCTTTTTAATTTCTGGGTGGAAAATTTCCCATTTTGTATTATAACATACCTATAAGCTCTAGGATTAAGACCAGCTAAATGTGGTATTAATGTTAACATTATACTCTGTAACATAGTTAATCTTCTATATACCTTCTCTGTTACTGGCAGTAAAAACCCTAAACTACCATCTAACGTGGCTACAATACAAATATATGTACAATTTATAAATTAAAAATATATAAATCAAATGAAATGAAATGGTGTATAATGAAATGAAATGAAATGAAATGAAATGGGGTTTAACGTCCTACTGTTCTGCTCCTATACTGGGCTAATGAGGACGGGCATACGCCATACAGTGTGCTATGAGGGAAATTTTGCCCGGGCAGCGGCACTATCGCCTACTCTTATATCGAATTCCAACTGCCAAGGCCAGGGTAATGAAGATGGGAGTACACCATACGGTGTGATATGAGGGATATTTTTGCCTACAGCCTACTTTTCATTCGAATTTCAACTTTCAAGGGTTCTTTTACATGCATGCCAATGTGTAAAAGGACCTTGTTTTTTTGTACTATCCAAATGACTAGACAGGTGATCCTCCTTCTTTTAAGTACAAGTGTGCGATCGACACCACGCCACTTGACCCAATGACAGGCCCCCCCAAACCCCCTCATTTTTACTAAAGGTAAAACTACATAGAAATAAAACTAGAAAGATTGTCATCCTCACAAGAAGGTGTTCATCATTATTAATGAATTTAATAGTTACCAAAATATGTGACATGTCTTCTCTCGACAAGAGCCAATGTTTTCTTATCTATAGATGGATCAGAGAGTTTACATCGAACACGGAAAAAAGTGTTGATATGTGAACCAGAATTAAAATCTGCTTTTCTTATTAGTCTTTGACCTCCATGACTTTCTCGTGCTGGAATCAAATATAATTCATGTTTAATGATTATTTCAGAGAACAAGCATATGAAGCAGTTGTCTCAATGGCTAACAAACAATACTATCATATAGTAATGCCACCGTTCAAGGAAGAGTTCCCTCCCCTTTGTTTTTTATTGGAGTCCTCAGGAGTTATCTCCCATGTGTAGAATTTTTTTGTATTGGGAGAAGTTAAATAAAACATGGCCTATCTCACATGTGGTTTTTTGGATTCAATACATTTTAATCCATGCCATCCATGGTGAACCAGAGAACTACCTCGCACAGAGCATTACCATGCTCAAACCAGCTTCCAGTAAATGAAGTAGACACAGGGAGGCTGTAGCAGTGGTTGTCATGAAAATAAAGGCAAAGGTTACAACTACTGACATCAAGAACCTCTGCTTAACGTCCAAACTAGGTCATTTTGGGACTAACATTTGATTCAATTTGATTTCCATAATTTGCTTGCGTGTTGGGGATTTTAGCAGTGGGTTAAAACAGTAGAAAACCCACAAAGTTGGACAGATGACCAAACTCCTGTACAAGTTTGTTATTGATCGATGACAAGTCAACTACCCAAACACCCCTGGTCTAACTCTTTTTATCAGACTCAAAACTAGAAATAAGAGATATTTTTTACAGGCATTTTTATCGACTACTGATTAGCCAAAGTGATATGCATTCAATCAAATTTTCATCTTATCTAATTCAAATTGGTTACCCTAATCAACGAATTTATCGACACTGATTTCCGAAGCGATTGCCAAAAATCACCAAATCATGTGTTTTTTTCAACTTTGTCCAGCCACAAGAATTGTTTAAAGCTAATCGGCTTTGAAATTGCCTATACTGTCACATGACATCTCCACTAAATACAAATCGATTTGGCAAGTCAATAAAAACGCCTCTAGTTTATTATTTCCCATCATGCAATCCTTCTATAACTTACCTTCTGGTTGATAACTATAGATCAAAATATTCTTATTTCTGTCAGAAACTGGAAAGAAAAATATATTCACATTTAACCAGTCTATCACATTTTCTTATAGCAAATATGAATTCATGTAGTTCTGTGACAGTAAAGTGACACTATTAGAAGATGCATATCTAGAGAGAGGGCTGCGCAGAGCATATTGTTTTCTCCTACATTCATTAAAATTACGTTGAACAAACAAACATGCAAAGCATATTGCGTCTGTTCTGGCCTCATTCCACTCTAATCCTATACATATATGTATCTAAATGAGCACAATATTATCTCAGAGCTTCTATGTTATAAAATTCTCCAGTAATCCTCCAGATTGAGAGAGAGAGAGAGAGAGATTAGCGCCATGCGACACTAGCCTGCCTCATCTCATTGTGCAAATCTTATTGGTTTTTTCCCTACATTCATCAAATTAACGCCAAACACGATAAGAATTGCCGCAGTTTTGACCCCACTATATTCTAATCCAATACATGTCTCCGTCTAAATAAGCATCAATATTGTCGCAGAGCATCTATGTCTTAATATATCTTGGTTAATCCCCCAGACTTCATGCCAAACCTGACGCCTCCCTCCGATCAAATTCATCAACAGAAATAATGAGGAGAAATCTTGTGTCAGAGCTTCTGATTTGATCAAATTCTCGGGTTATCTAACAGACTTTTTGGCAAATTTGACGGCGTCTAAAACCTGGTCCCCCCACCCACCCTTCGGCTCAAATTCCTGAATACACCCCTAATTAGTAATATTATTTGGTCAACTTACCTATAAAACAAAGATTGTTATTATCAACTAGAAAATTAACAGCATAAACTTCACATGGTTTAATATCCTACAATATATAATATACAATATATACACAATATATGATATATATACACAATATTTACATGGATTAATATCCTACAATATATAATATACAATGTATTACACAATATATAATATACAAAATATATACACAATATATAATATACAGTATATATACACAATATTTACATATATACAATCTATTAAACCCTCTGGTTATTATACAATATATAATCACAATATTTACAAATATATAATCTCTGAAACACCCTGCTTGTCATTAAGGGATTGGAATCCCATGCACATTACAATATCTAAAAGGAATATCTCTTAAAACTGTTGTTTGTCATTTGAGAGACTTTAAATTAGCATTATCTAAAAGGAATATCTCTTAAAACTGTTGTTTGTCATTTGAGAGACTTTAAATTAGCATTATTAAAAGGAATATCTCTTAAAACTGTTTGTCATTTGAGAGATTTTAAATTAGCATTATCTAAAAGGAATATCTCTTAAAACTGTTGTTTGTCATTTGAGAGACTTTAAATTAGCATTATCTAAAAGGAATATCTCTTAAAACTGTGGTTTGTCATTTGAGAGACTTTAAATTAGCATTATCTAAAAGGAATATCTCTTAAAAATGTTGTTTGTCATTTGAGAGACTTTAAACTAGCATTATCTAAAAGGAATATCTCTTAAAAATGTTGTTTGTCATTTGAGAGACTTTAAACTAGCATTATCTAAAAGGAATATCTCTTAGAAATGTTGTTTGTCATTTGAGAGACTTTAAATTAGCATTATCTAAAAGGAATATCTCTTAAAACTGTTGTTTGTCATTTGAGAGACTTTAAATTAGCATTATCTAAAAGGAATATCTTTTAAAAATGTTGTTTGTCATTTGAGAGACTTTAAATTAGCATTATCTAAAAGGAATATCTCTCAAAACTGTTGTTTGTCATTTGAGAGACTTTAAATTAGCATTATCTAAAAGGAATATCTCTTAAAAATGTTGTTTGTCATTTGAGAGACTTTAAACTAGCATTATCTAAAAGGAATATCTCTTAAAAATGTTGTTTGTCATTTGAGAGACTTTAAATTAGCATTATCTAAAAGGAATATCTCTAAAAACTGATGTTTGTCATTTGAGAGACTTTAAATTAGCATTATCTAAAAGGAATATCTCTTAAAACTGTTGTTTGTCATTTGAGAGACTTTAAATTAGCATTATCTAAAAGGAATATCTCTTAAAAATGTTGTTTGTCATTTGAGAGACTTTAAATTAGCATTATCTAAAAGGAATATCTCTTAAAAATGTTGTTTGTCATTTGAGAGATTTTAAACGAACATTTTGTTAAAGTTTAATCTACAAAATAAATATCAATCCACAAAATGGTTGAATTTTGTTTAGTATTTACAAAAATATGATAATTTGAATATTTTGCATCTTCTGGCATCCTCTGAAAACAATATAAACCAGCATCTTCTTTTAATCTGACTGATATTTTGGTTTTGAAGTTTTAAGTTTCATCAACATATACTTTGGTAAATTTGAGACATGTCATAATTTGAACCCTAGACATTCTTTTAATTGCGAAGCCAGTGCAGTACCACTCAACTACAATGGAGCACTCGTACAAATGATGGGATAAACCAAAATTAAATGAAAGGAAATGGGGTTTAACGTCCTACTTTTCTGCACCGAAAACTAAGGCCTACTATTATTTCGAATTCCAACAGTCAAGGACTCTTTTACATCCACACCAATTTGTACACAGGACCCCGGTTTTTCATGCCTTCCAAACGACTAGACACTGTTCCATGTCAGGCCCACGGGGAACCACGCGGGAAAATCCCGATGAACTTTCTCAGCCAACACTGTGATCATGAGAGAGAAAGAGAGGGAGAGAGAGAGAGAGAGAGAGAGAGAGAGAGGGTTTAACTTCCACTCAACACAAACTAGGTCATTTCGGGACTAACCTATGATTTAATTTTATTTAATTTGCTTGCCCATAGGGGTCTTTAGCAGTGGGAGGAAACTGGAGGACCTGGAGAAAACCCACGAAGTTGGACAGGCGACCCTACTCCTTGTCACGTACAACCGGGGATTCGAAACCATGCCAGTTGACTCAATGACAGGTCTTATGATACAGCGCGCACATGCTAACCATTCAGTCATCCAACCCCCCTTACCGTGATCGAACATGGGATCTCCAGGTTAGCGAACCAACGTCTTACTCACTGTGGCTCCAAAAGTTGCGGAAGAAAATAATTAAAACTTACCCTACTAGCTAATGATAAAACTTTATAATCTTCTTGATATCTATATAAAGCTATACTCTTCAATAGATCACCAGCTACTATCAGATTCTTAATAGTTGCTAAAGAATGAATATAGATAAACGTATCTATAAACGCTACACCAGATAAATCATTATCTTTTAATGTCCACATATATAACTGAAATGAATAATGAAGGTGATGAAACAGTAAATAATTAATGTGGTGGTGACTTTGGACCCTATTCATGGATGTACTATAAATGTAAGGTTGTTATTCATTAATGACCATTGCTTGATCAAGATACCTGTAAGAGTATTGAAATGTTGTATGTCATAAACCAACAAGTAGTAAAACTATAAAGTTGTGTTATTATGACATATGACATAGCTAAATTAAGTAAGGCCTTTAGCCTTAAACCACTGCTGTATTATACGCTAAATAGTCGTATAATATGGATAGAAATTCACATATCTAGGAACAGCAATTTCGGACTGTTCAGGTGTGTATCAGGAGAGAGAGAGAGAGAGAGAGAGATGGGGTTAAACAACATGGGAGAGAGAGAGAGAAAGAGAGAAATGTGGTTAAACGTCATTTCGGGACCAACATATGGTTCAATTTTATTTTAATAATTCGTTTGCACGTAGGGGTCTTTAGCAGTGGGGGGAAACTGGAGGAGCCAGAGAAAACCCAAGATGTTGGACAGGCGACCCTAGTCCTTGTCACGTACAACCGGGGATCTAAACCATGCCAGTTGGCTCAATGACAGACCTTATGATACAGCGTGCACACGCTAAACATTTGGCCATACAATCCCCTGTGTGTATCTGTATATTAATATATCACTTTTCTCTAATTATCTTCAATTAAATGAGTTACTCAATATTTACATATACAAAGTACTATATGTTAAACTATTGATTATAACAAACAGATCATATAATATTACTGTACAAAGGAATAAGTTTCATATTATTTTACCTTTTGTCCAAGGGACTGGAGTATTTAAAACTATATGTACCTAGTGCTAAAGGTTCATACTAGTACTGTTTTTACCTTTAATGTTTATAACAAATAGATAATATAATATTTTTTTTATATTTTACCTTTTGTCCAATAGCTGTCAATAAATAACCATTAACATCTGCCATAGCTGTAACTGGTCCTTTCTGTTCTTTCTCTAATACAAGCTACAACAATTAAAGAGAAAGAGGTTTTATTTGTTTTACTATCCTTCAATATCAAATCTTTGTTAGAAAATTCATAAATATCGTCTAAAATCACCCCATATCATCTAACTCAATATCAAATCTTTGTTTGAAAATTCATAAAAATCATCTAAAATCACCCCAAATCATCTAATGTAAAATCTTTGTTTGAAAATTCATAAAAATCACCCCAAATCATCTAATTTCTAAAGTTTAAAGACATTAATAATCAATTGGGCCGTTTATTTATCAACAATTTGTAAATTGGATGTTTTTAACAAATTTTCAAATGAAGATTTGTTATTGAATGAATGTGAAAGAAATTAGGGCTAAATATGCAAGACCAAATAATACCCCAGTTTCAGGTTTTAAAAGTTGTCTTATGTGAATCAATTTCTTGAAATAAATTCTTTAACCACTGACCTTTATTTTTGTTTTTGTTAACGGTTGACCTGGTTCTGGGACAACTTCTATCACTTCAAATATTAAAACCTACAAGGAAAAAAGAAAAAAATTGAATAGTTGAAACTTTCTCAGTCAACACGGGGATCAAACCAAGGATCTCCTGGTCAGTGTATTTTCTGGCGTGGTACCCCCCTTGTCAGTGGTGCAGGACAGAGGGCCTGACAAGGACAGCTGTCTAGTCGTTTGGATGAGGAGGCCATAGCGTTGCTGATCAGGCAAAATTTCCCTCATAGCACACTGTATGGTGTATGCCCGTCTTCATTAGCCCAGTCAAAACAGAAACCCCATTTCATTTCTTTTCCATTACAAAGTCCTGAGAGAGAGAAATAGGGTTTAATGTCCACTTGACACAAGGTAGGTCATTTTTGGACTAACATATGGTTCAATCTTATTTCAATAATTCACTTGCACGTAGGGGGTCTTTAGCAATGGGAGGAAACCGGAGGACCCACAAAGCTGGACAGACGACCCTACTAATGATACAGCGCGCACGCACTAACCATTCGGCCATCCAACACCCGATACAAAGTCTTGAAGTGAGTAAATACAATTGATTATGTGAAATTCTATTAAATAATAAATTGTGTGTTTAAAATAACTTACTCTGCCTTTAGAATGTATTTCTTCACCATAACAATACATGGTTCCTAGAGCTATATACCCCTTTAATCCTGATACAGTTCCTTCAGATTTTAATCGCACACATTTCAATGATGTAGCTTGTTCCCATTCTTCTAACTCAAAACTAAAATATAATAAACATAACAATATACTATCAAATATGATCAGCAACTGGCCTATTTATGGAATTACATTATTAGGGGAGAGAGAGAGAGAGAGAAGAGAGAGAGAGAGAGAGAGAGAGAGAGAGAGAGAGAGAGAGAGAGTTTAACATCCACTCACCAAAACTAGGTCATTTCGGGACTAACATATGGTTCAATAATTTGCTTGCACATGGGGGACAGGCGACCCTACTCCTTGTCACATACATATGTACAAACAAGGAATCAAAACCACGCAACTTGACTCAATGACAGACCTTATGATACAACCCCCACCCCTCACCCCATTCCAGCTGTCAAGGTTTCTTTTTACATGCTTTTCCATGTATACATGGGGCTGCATCTTTTCGTCACATTCGAAGGACTGAACCCTGTCCTTGCCAGGCGCTTTGTCCTGCACCACTGATAATGGGTAATTGCGGAGGATAATCCCAAGGAACCTTCTCAGCCAACATCAGGAGTGAACCCATGTGTCACAGTGTCTCCCCCAGTATTAAAATAAATTTTCACCTTGAGTTAGGTATTAATTCCCAGGTACTTGGTGTAAATAAGTTAAGAGAAAAAACATCTTCTGTAGGGTACACAAATCGTTCATCTGTAATATAAAATTATTTTCATCTTTTATTTACATAACCTTCCCTTGTAAGAAGAATAGGATTTACATAACCTCCCCTTGTAAGTAGAATAGGACCTTAAACCCCATTACATCTTATATTTACATAACCTTCCCTTGTAAGAAGAATAGTACCTTAAACCCCATTTGTAAGAAGAATAGGACCCCATTACATCTTATATTTACATATCCTCCCCTTGTAAGAAGAATAGTACCCCATTACATCTTATATTTACATAACCTCCCCTTGTAAGAAGAATAGTACCTTAAGAAGAATAGGACCTCAAACCCCAGTTCATTTTTTATTTACATAACCTCCCCTTATAACCTAATATTAGCTTGATTCATGTTCACCGCCTTGAAATCTGTTGACATAAGTCTGTACATAGTTTGCCAAGATATTTTGTCATATATTTTTTATATTTAAATATCATCTCTGTTTGTTTTTTTTTGGTAAACATAAGACTATACAGGAAATGAAGTGAAATAGGGATTAACATCGAACTGTTCTGCTCCGACTGGGCTAATGAAGACAGGATTGCTTTCTTCAGTGTGTTATGGGTGCAATTTTGCCCAAACAGCAGCGCTACAGCCTGCCCTTAATTTGAATTTCAACCGTCAATGGTTCTGTTATGTGCACGTGACCGTGGTTTTTCGTCTCATGCAAACGACTAGGCACTGTCCTTGTCGGGTCCTTCGCCCTGCACCACTGACAAGGGGAAACCACACCAGAAAATCCTGGAGAATTTTCTCGACCAACACTAGGAGCAACCCCGAGAACTCTTGGTTAGCAAGCTAGCTGTTTTGGTTAGACTAGAAACAAGCTAACCACATGAAGTAGAAATAATTTCATTTTAAAACTCCTACAAAAAAACTGAAACATTATCAAATACAATGTATGTTGGCTCCAAGATATATTAACCTACCCTTTTCAACAACTTCAAATTCTTTTTCATCTGATGTCACCTTTGCCTGTTTATTAAAAATTTCTTGTGTACTTGTAACAACTGCATACGTCTACAATTATATTATAAACACATTTATTTTAACGATCTACAATTATATTACATACACATTTATTTTAACAATCTACAATTATATTACATACACATTTATTTTAATAACCTACATTTATATTATACAGGCTATTTTCATAAAAACATACCAATAATGATAAAGACAACATGTGTACTTTATGAAAACTGATATAACATTGTGTACTTTATAATAACTTATATAATATGGTGTACTTTATAATAACTGATATAACATGGTGTACTTTATAATAACTGATATAATACTGTGTACTTTATGATATAATATGGTGTACTTTATAATAACTGGTATAATATTGTGTACTTTATGATAACTGGTATAATATTGTGTACTTTATGATATAATATGGTGTACTTTATAATAACTGGTATAATATTGTGTACTTTATGATAACTGGTATAATATTGTGTACTTTATAATAACTGGTATAATATTGTGTACTTTATGATAACTGGCATAATATTGTGTACTTTATGATAACTGATATAACATGGTGTACTTTATGATATAATATGGTGTACTTTATGATACCTGATATAACATTGTGTACTTTATAATAACTGAAATAATATGGTGTACTTTATAATAACTGATATAACATGGTGTACTTTATGATAACTGATATAATATGGTGTACTTTATGAAAACTGATAAAATATTGTGTACTTCATGATATTATATTGTATACTTTATGATACCTTATATAATATGGTGTACTTTATGATACCTGATATAATATGGTGTACTTTATGATAAAATATTGGGTACTTTACCTTACTGTCATTATGATAACTGATATAATGTGGTGTACATCGTAACGGTAATTTTCTAATTGGCCACGGAGCATCATATGTAACATGAGTAGGTAAAACACAAATTCTCATCTCACTCTACAAACAAATACAATTATAAACTTGTTAAATATAATTATAAACTTAACAAATACAATTATAAACTTATCAAAATCAACTAGAAATTTATCTGCTACATGATGGCCCACCTGTTCTTTACTAAACTATTATAGCGAGAACGACCAGCTCTATCTATATCAGTACATGCATGTTTAATATGACAATCTTTACTGGCCTACCTGTTGATTAAAGTATAGAAAACCCTTCGGACAGTTGACATTATTAAACTGTGTAAAACATATAACAGGACCATCTATATTCATTGGATGTATTCTTAAAACACCTTTAGATGTCATAAATAACCAATGAGGATAAGCACCACACAGAAAAACCTACAATACAAAATATCAGATATTATTACATATTCATTGGATGTATTCTTAAAACACCTTTAGAGGTCATAAATAACCAATGAGGATAAGCACCACACAGAAAAACCTACAACAGAAAATATCAAATATTATTACATACTTTTAACCTTTGGCACTTAGACAGCCCAAAATTGTCCTATGTAGGGCTACTTAAACTGCCTGAACAAACTAGTAGATGGTTCTGTAATACGGAAAATTATTCACATATCTCTGGTGGTTTGAGGTAGTCTAGGGAACAGCAGTTTCAAACTGTTTCGGTCTATTCCTGTAGCGATAATAAGTATATCACTTTTCTCTAATTTTCTTCAAGGAATTGGGATGGTCAATAATTCACTTGCACATAGGGGCCTTTAGCCGTGGTAAGAAACTGAAGGAGCAGGAGAAGACACATGGGGTTGGACAGGCGACCCTACTCCTTGTCACGTACAACTGGGGAATCGAAAATACGCCAGTTGACTCAATGACAGACCTTATGATACAGCGCGCACGCGCTAACCATTCGGCCATTCACCACCCCAATTGTACTGAAGGAGCAGGAGAAGAGACCCAAAGGTGTTGGACAGGCGACCCTACTGCTTGTCACATACAACCGGCTAACTATTCGGCCATTCCCCACCCCACATGTATTGAAGCAGCAGGAGAAGAGACCCACGGTGTTGGACAGGCGACCCTACTCCTTGTCACGTACAACCAGGAAATCGAAACCACGCCAGTTGACTCAATGACAGACCTTATGATACAGCGTGCACCATCCCCCCACCCCCCATCTATGACTACTTACACCAGCATATCCTGATATATCATCAAAGTATCTCATAGATTGAACAAATGATTTCTTTCCTATAGATGTCTCTATATCTAATTCTCCTTTCTTTTTACTCTTCGCTGTTTTCTTCTGTTTTAAGATGAGATCATGCTGGTACTTCTTAAATCGTATCTTCAGATGATTGTGTTTTTCACTTTGACTAGGTTGAAAGGGGAAAGCTTCATATATAAACAGTTCTTCTTCTACTCTAGCCTATAAAAAATAGAAATTTGTGACATGAAGTTTTGATCGGACAGCAGCGCTACAGCCTACTCTTATATCTAATTCCAACTGTCGAGGTTTCTTTGAAGTGCACGCCCATGTGTTTTGTTCAATCCGAACAACTAATAAAAATGTGCTTACAGTGCTTTACTAAAATGCTTAACCACATACTAAAAAAATAGTGTTAAAGCAAACTTCATATATAAACAGTTCTACTCTGGCCTATATAATATAAAGATGTGTTTACACTTTGGTTTACTTATAAACAGGGTTTTACTTAAATTCTTACCATGAGGAAATTAAATGAAATGGGGTTTAACGTCCTACTATTCTGCTGCTAAACTGGGCTAATGAAGATGGGCATAGGCCATACTGTGTGCTATGAGTGAAATTTTACCAGGGCATTTCACTATGGCCCACTCAAATTTCAACCGCCAAGGGATCTTTTACCTGCATGTCACTGTATTCATGGGACTGTGGTTTATTCGTCCTGCATCACTGACAAGGGGAAACCATGTTGGAAAATCCTGATGAACTTTCTCGGCCAATGCAGGGATTGAACACCCGACCTCCAGGTTAGCGAGCCAGCGTCTTAACCACTTAGCCACTGTGGCTGTTTATTACCCATAAACTAGAACTAGGTTATTACAAGATTACATACTTTATTATACCCAGCTTGCATCTAGGACCTGTTTTTTGTTCACATTCAACATTTATGAATATCAATGATATTCAAAAAACCAAAAGTTAGGTAAAAGTGTCCACAAGATTATTCTGGCACTAATAATCTGATATCGCTAAAAATCAATAGGCTCCCTCGTCTCAGGATTATAAACAACATGAATAGGTTTTAAGTCAATTGGAATATAGCGTTAGTCTATAGAGTATCCACAAGCAATTGTGAACTACGGATGGACAGAAAGAGGGAGGGAAATGGGGTTTAACATTCACTCAACACAAACTAGCTCATTTTGAGACTTAAATGATTCAATTTTATTTCAATAATTCGCTTGCACGTAGGGGTCTTTAGCAGTGGGAGGAAACCAAAGAAAACCCTCGAGGTTGGACAGGCGACCCTACTCCTTGTCACGTACAGTCGGGGAATCGAAACCACGCCAGTTGACTCAATGACAGACCATATAATACAACGCAAACACGCTAACAATTCGGACATCCAACTCCCCTCAGACAGACAGAGATGAGGACAATTTGAATGTGGGCGTATAAAAACCATAAAATTTAGAGAAATCAAAGTATAAACTTACAAAAAGATATGGGTGAGATTTGTTGTATCCAAGTCCAACGACTAACAACTCTTTCACTTTTGGCAGTTCAAGATAATTCTCTCTTTCTTTCTGAACCTTAACATCCTGGTTTTCACTCGTAGAACTTGTACTATTCAAAAACAAAAAAAGATTAAGCACTTTGTTGCGATCAGCTGATATCATGATTCCAGTTCCCTATTACTGGATGCATTACATAAACCCAAAGGCATTGATTCCAATGAAATTGATTCCTGTTCCACTTTGTTGCGATTGCTTGAAATCAGGATTCCAGTATCCTATTTGGAAATGACCAGTGCATTGCATAAACCAAATGGCACCCATTCCAATCAAATTGGTTCCTGTTCTACTTTGCTGCCATCACTTGAAATCAGGATTCCAGTTCCTTATTTGAAAACGATTGGTGCATTACATAAACCAAATGGCATCCATTTCAATCAAACTGGTTCCTGTTATACTTTGTTGCTATCACATGAACTTTGGACTCCAGATTCCGATTCCAATTTGAAAATGATTGGATATATTTCACAAATCGATTAGCTTGCATTCTTTTGAAATGGGTTCCAGTTTTAATTGTATTCAAGTGAAATTCAATATATTTACCTTGTTTTGACTGATTCTACACCCTGCCCACTATCGACTAAAACTTTATGACCACCAGGAAAGTTCTTTACAAAATAACAAGCTTTGAAGTCAGGTATGGAATACATCTACAAAGAAAAGCTTATATATTATAAATGGTAAAGATAACATTGGTTGTGCTGTTCAAAAGCTTTTAGTTCTAAATTATTAAGTTTTGAAATTTTAAACAAAACATCGTTCACATGATTCAAATGAAATGAAATGAAATGAAATGGGGTTTAACGTCCTACTGTTCTGCTCCTAACCTGGGCTAATGAAGACGGGCATACGCCATACAGTGTGCTATGAGGGGAATTTTGCCCAGGCAGCGGCGCTACGGCCTACTCTTATATCAAATTCCAACTGCCAAGGGATCTTTTACGTGCACGCCAATGTGTACACGGGACCTCGGTTTTTCGTCCCATCCGAACGACTAGACAGCTTTCCTTGTCAGCCCCTACGTCCTGCATCACCGACATGGGAGAACCATGCCGGAAAATCTGGATGAGCTTTCTCGGCCAATGCAGGGATCGAACACCCGACCTCCAGGCTAGCGAGCCAGCGTCTTACCCACTTAGCCACATGATCCCCCCACATGATTCAAGTGACTATTTAATTATCAAGTCCCTGAAGAAAAAAATTAAATTGGTGTTGCCCAAGGAAGATGAATTGAATTATTTCCTGTCTGTTAGTTATCTTGTCTTTAATTCTAAAAACTAATTCATCATCATAACTTTGGTAAATATTTTAGCTATGCTAACGACCCCAAAAAATAAGAGAGAGAGAGAGAGAGAGAGAGAGAGAGAGAGAGAGAGAGAGGGTTTAAGGTCCACTCGACACAAACTAGGTCATTTCGGGACTAACATATGGTATTAATTTTTTATTTCAATAATTTGCTTGTGCGTAGGGGTCTTTAGCAGTGGGAGGAAACCAGAGGACCTGGAGAAAACCAACGAGGTTGGGCAGGAGACCCTACTCCTTGTCACGTACAACCGCAAAAAATAAGAAGTGGAGACAAGATTAAGCATACCCCAAGTTCTCCATTTTCTCTACAAAGTACAGCCCAATATGTAGGAGTGATGACTTTCTCTGTTTTCTTCTTAAATTTACTGGAAAAAATATATACCCATACATTAAACTTATTGAACAAATAGATCTAATCTAGATTCTAGACTTGTATAAAATAATTACTGTAAGACATGACATGAATGTGAAATCTACTCCTGTCTACCAGACAATAAATGTGGGAGAATGACAGAGGGAGGGAGAGAGGACAGAGAGCGAGAGAGCGAGAGAGAGAGAGAGAGAGAAAGACGCAAACTAGGTCATTAAGGGAGAGAGAGAGAGAGAGAGAGAGAGAGAGAGAGAGAGAGAGAGAGAGACGAAAACTAGGTCATTAAGGGAGAGAGAGATAGAGACAGAGAGAGAGAGAGAGAGAGAGATAGATAGATAGATAGAGGGAGGGAGGGAGAGACAGAGATGCAAACTAGGTCATTAAGGGATTAACATATGATTCAATTATATTTCAATAATTCGAATGCACGCAGTTGGAGGAAATCAGAGGATCTGGAAAAAATTCATAGGTGACCCCACTCCTTGTCACATATAAGTGGGGAATAGAAACCATACAATCTAAAGCATATGTGTTGAACAGGGCTGTATGTAGGATTTTAAAAGTGGGGGTGCAGCAGAGTGTTGGGGCGCCAAAATAATGCCCAAGTTACCCATTGGAATGTGGGCGCCCTTAAAAAAAGACCGACTGATCAGTGCCTTAAGAGCATCGCTGTGTGATCATAATCAAGTGTATTATTTTATGATTGAAAGGTTATCAAATTTTTTTATTTTTTTGGGGGGGGGGGGGCATTTCTCGAGGCGCCATATTTTTCTGGGGGTGCAATGTACCCCCTGCACCCCCGCTAGATACGGCCCTGGTGTTGAACCATTCGGAATGGTGACAGTCAACCAGCTGACATTACGAATTAGACGTCAAAACACTTTCACAATGATTGAAAATTAAAGTAGAGTATTTTACCTATTAGATTGTTCTTGTGTATTGGTGGTAAATGATGAACCGAATACTGAAGTATCAGAAGCACCATATAACATCTCATCTTCATCTTCTATATTACTATTAATAGAAACATCATCACATGATAAAAGCAGTATGATTATTTAAACATACATTATGCCAAGAGCTAAATCTGCCTATTGCAGTATAAATATTAAAGTCATTTTGAATACAAAAGTATTTTAAGATGACATACTTCTACAGGACTTACTGTGTTATGAATGGAAATTAATAGTGCTAACAATGATCGAAGTCATTAACTGCACATTCTGGGCGGGAATGATGATATAATACGTCCTTTATTACATCTGCATGATAAGTCTACAGGTTATTATATTCATAGAAGATAGGTATATATTGTTTTAAGATTGTAACTCATAAGCCTGGAAAACACCCAGCATGTAAAAATAAAATGTGACAACATGAAGCAATGTAATATGGAAATGAAATGAAATGAAATGGGGTTTAACGTCCTACTGTTCTGCTCCTATACTGGGCTAATGAAGACGGGCATACGCCATACAGTGTGCTATGAGGGAAATTTTGCCCGGGCAGCGGCACTATCGCCTACTCTTATATCGAATTCCAACTGCCAAGGGATCTTTTACGTGCATTCCAATGTATACACGGGACCTCGGTTTTTCGTCTCATCCGAAGGACAAGACAGCTGTCCTTGTCAGGCCCTCCGTTCTGCACCACTGACAAGGGGAAACCACGTCGGAAAATCTGGATGAACTTTCTCGGCCAATAATGTAATATGGAAAACAATCACTAGTTTGTATACATATAGCACGATGTATCATTTGTTCCAAGGGGTGTGGTGACCCATGACTTTGCATGACGAGCAAGATCCTGTCAAGAGCCCCCCGAATAACAATATTAATATGTGTGTGCGGGGGAAAATGGGCCTCCCAGTACCGCCAAGTAATACTGGGCTGTGTGGAACATGCTAAAGTCGATTTGTAGCATATCTAACCCACCGTATATGTTTGATACTGTTTAAGCATTAATATTATAATGTTGAAAACCGCATTGGAACCGATTGATTTTTACTATTTGTGAGGGGTGCAAAAACTTAAGGAGGCTCAAAAACTCAAAACCATGATGCAAAGCTTGTCATTGCATCCTTCTCACTTAGCCCCTGATTTGTTCTTGATAACGATAAGAGAACACTTGTTGAAACGTAATCCTATACATGTGTACAAACCATGTAGATCGGGTCGTAGTTTGATAAAATTATTTGTAATAAACATACTTGTCTTCTGCTTGTGGCTGTTTATCTGTTTTATCAAATTTATTGTTAACCATGTTGTCATCTGTTGTAATGGAGGATGTCGTAAACATACCACTCACATCTTTATAGGCTGTTACAACTAATACAGGTGATTTCTATCAACAATATATTACAACATTATTATATATCAATGAAATAATAACTAGTAATGAGAGAGAGAGAGAGGGAGAGAGAGAGAGAGAGAGAGAGGAACTACTAATGGGGCGATTCACTGTAACCCTGAATATGATAGTGATGTCAGAGAGATAGAGAGGGAGAGAGAGAGAGAGAGATAGAGAGAGATTAAACATCCACTTGACACAAACTAAGTCATTTTGGGTCTAACATATAGTTTAACTTTTAGCAGTGGGATGAAACCAAAGGAGCAACAAGAGAAAACCCAAGAGTTTGGACAGTCGAAATTAGTCCTTTGTCACATGCAACAAGGGAACTGAAACCACACACTTGACCTCATGATCAAAATCATTTGGCCATCCGAACAACAAAAATATATAACAATCTTTATAGACTGGTACAACTAATACTCAGTATTTCTAACAACAAAAATATACAATCTTTATAGGCTGTTACAACTAATATACGGGGGATTTCTAATAACAATAACATTACTATATTGAAATAATAACTACTAATAAAAGGGAATTTCTAACAAAAAGAACATTATTATATTATCAATGAAATAATAACTATTAATTAAGGGAATGTCAACACTTGCATCCAAACGAATATTCCGTGTATAGATCTCAGAGCCCAATCAGCACCAACAAAGTAAGAAAATGTTGATAAATTTCTGTTCATTATTCAATAATAACCGGAATATTTAATTTATTATTTTCTATCTGCAGTGTCGTTCAACCCATCCACACAGTTCCGCAGGTTCTTTGTTTGGACACAAGTGTTGAAATTTTGTGGGTTAGGGCTAAGGTTAGTGTTAGCACCATTTACATCCTGTGACCTTTGACCAAATATGCAGTTGGCCTTAATATTTAGACCTAACCCACCAAGCAGGGTGTACTTTGAACAAGACTTATTTTAAACAAGACTTAAAAACCAAAAGTACTTGGATGCACAGTTCAAAAGGTTTAGTTCCAAATTATTAAAATTTAAAACAAAACACCTTATACGTAATTCATTTGACTATTTTACTAAGACCCCTGAAGAAGAGAGAAATGGGGTTTAACGTCCACTCGACACAAACTAGGTCATTTCGGGACTAACATACGGTTTAATTTTATTTCAATAATTCACTTGCGCGTAGGGGTCTTTAGCAGTGGGAGGAAACCAGAGGACCCGGAGAAAACCCACAAGGTTGGACAGGCGACCCTACTCCTTGTCACGTACAACCAGGGATTTGAAACCACGCCAGTTGACCCTGAAGACAAGGCCTACAATGCTGTTAAGACAGCTCTGAAAATAAGCGAAGAAATAGTTAAATACATACTGTAGATATTTGTGGTCTAGTAACAGCTAATCTAACACCGGAACCGTAACTATCTTGTTTTAATGTTAATAACATAATCTGACCATCTTCCATCATAATAACAACGTATGGATCAGCTACTGAACACTGTGCTATAACACTACCGGTATCTAATGGTATATGCTGCAGTTGTTTTACTGAAAATATTAACACAATTTATTTGTTTTGGGTTTTTTAAAGAGAGGGAGAGAGATTGCACACAAATTCTTTTTTTTTTAAAAGAAAGTAAACCAATTTAAAGAAAGGTTGAATACAAATTTTTTTTTTAAAGAGAGAGATTGGACATGTTTTTTTTTTATTTTCAAAGGATGTGACTCAATATAGAATATATATAGAGAGAAGTGGGGTTTAATATCCACTTGACACAAACTAAGTTGTTTCGGGGCTAAAATATGGTTCAATTTTATTTCAATAATTCGCTTGTGCTTAAGGGTCTTTAGAAGTGGGAGGAAACTGGGGATCCAAAGAAAACCCATGAGGTTGGACAGGCAAATCGAAACAATGCCACTTGACTCAATGACAGACCTTATGATCTAATCTGCACGCATTAGACCACTACACCCTCGGAAATTACAGAAGGAAGGACAGAATGAATGAGAATGTAATGAAGGAATGATTAACTTAAAACCTTCTAATTAAAGAAAGATGAACAGAATGAATGAGAAGGATATAATGGAGGAAGAATTAACTTACCACCTCCTAATTAAAGAAAGATGGACAGAAAATAAAGGATATAATGGAAGAATGATTAACTTACCACCTCCTAATTAAAGAAAGATGAACAGAATGAATGAGAAGGTTAATGGAAGAATGATTAACTTAAAACTCTCTAATTAAAGAAAGATGGACAGAAAATAAAGGATATAATAGAGGAAGAATTAACTTACCACCTTCCAACAGTCTAATACTGTTAGTAGAAACTTGTAAAATATATTTATTTTCACCAATATTTCCAGCGAATACAGTCGGATTCTGTGTACTAAATCCACTGTGGTCTAACTCCATTATTTCATTTCCTGTTTGTAAAACCATACTAGAATCAGGACGACTGAGAATAAGGAAAGAGTGACCTCCCTTGATTGCTGCCTCTTCCTCATTTTCTTCTCCTTCTGTTGGAACCTGAAATAAAAATGAAATGGGGTTAAGGTTTAACATCCTACTTTTTTGCCCGGACAGTGACACTACAGCTTATTTTATATCGAATTCCTACTGTCGAGGGATCTTTTCATCTGCGTCAATGAGCGTACGGTACAATGTCTTTCCCAGGGCCCTCCGTTCTGCACCACAGACACGGGTAAACTGGGACGGAAAATCCTGAGGAACTTTCTCGGACAAAACCTGGATCAAACCTGAGACGTACTGGTAATGCTAGGTTCCTACTATCACGATTTGTGCTACGATTGAAATGGTGGTTTTAATTGTGGAGTAATCATGGTGATACTATCATATATCAGTCGTAGCAATCTTGTTCATCGTATCGAAACATATCTGCACGTAGCAGATCATGGACTCATTTGGGACAATCCTATCGCAACGGATAGGATTATTTTCTTTACTGACCTTTTCTTCTGGATCTTGAGCATCAAATACAGTCCACATATCAATACAATCAGGTAGTTCAAAGGTCGTTACTACCTGTGGTCGTATACTTCTCTATAAATAATCAAAATAAACACAAAATAAAATTTATTCAAACATCCATCAGTGAGCTAGAGTGTAACTGTAAAATTTTAGTACAGAATAAAAATTTCATCATTTTGCACAAGAAAACTGCTGAATCCCATAAAATCTAATCAAATGACACAATAGTCTAGGATAAAGTAATACGAATGGAATTTTTAATATATTCATTTTACATTATCTATTTTTGAGAGAGATAGAGAGAAATGGGGTTTAACGTCCACTCGACACAGCTAGGTCATTTCGGGACTAACATATGGTTTTTAATTTTATTTTAATAATTCGCTTTCGCATAGGGGTCTTTAGCAGTGGGAGCAAACCGGAGGACCCGGAGAAAACCCACGAGGTTGGACAGGCGACCCTACTCCTTATCTATTTTTGAGCTATTACAGCAAGAATGGCCAGCTCTCTATTTATACCATGCATAATGCATCTTTAATTAATAATTTGTAGTATGATGATTAATAGTGTACGTCAGCTATTTATTTCTTACATAATTCAGCTTTAAAATAATGACACAATAACGATAATAATTAAATCTGAACATTGGGTTGCAAGACAACAGATATACTCCATAGTATTAATTTTGTAAATCTAAAAGGTGATGAACATAGGGTTGCCAGGCAACAGGTATATCCCACAGCATTAATTTGTAAATCTAAAAGGTGATAAACATGTTACCTGAAGAACAGACAAGGCACCATTTTTACCATAACCTGACGTAGTGACTAATTCTAGATCTGGATCAATAGAGTTACCAAATTCTTCTGATAAAAACGCTGGTTCACCCATCTCGACTTGTCCACATGGAGAAATATTCCATATATTATCACAAACCTATAGTATACAACAAATTTAAACGTTAAAAGGCTATTTGCAAATCTAACAAAAAGAAATGAAATGAAATGGAGTTTAAAACCTGAAAAATTGAAGTAGTTAACAAATATTGTATTTGAGAGAAATGAAATGAAATAAAATGGAGTTTAACAGTCTATTGTTTTATGGGGGAAATTTTGCCCGGACAGAGGCACTATGGCCTACTCTTATATCAAATTCCAACTTTCAAGGGATCTTTTACGTGCACGCCTATGTATACACAGGTCCTCTGTTTCTTGGTCCTATCTGAAGAACTATAAATTGTCCCTTGCCAGGCTCACTTTCCTGCACCATTCGGCCATCCAACCCCCCCTAACTAGCCTGTACTTTGACAGGTTGTTCACTTCCTCGACACTTAAATTTCTATATATCCAGTATGTTAAAATTCTCACCTCAAAGACATAAGATGTAATAGTTGTACTAGCAGCTGTATCACTAACACCATATACTTCTAATTCATCTAAATTCTCTATTTCCGTTATATCTGATGCTAAATGTTCACTTCCTTCTACCTTCCTCTTCTTATTAGATGGTTCCTAGAATTAAAATAACAGTTTATATTACTTCAATACACCCAATAGTGCTAACTCTAAAACCAAAAGGTGACATATCCTGCAGGGGAATGAAATGAAATGGGGTTTTACGTCCTACTGTTCTGCTCCAACTGGGTTAATGAAGATGGGCATACGCCATACAGTGTGCTATGAGGGAAATTTTGGAAGGGGCAGCATCACTACGGCCTGCCCTTATATCGAATTCTAACTGCCAAGGGACCTTTTACGTGCACGCCAGTGTATACACGGGACCTTGGTTTTTTGTACCATTCAAACGACTAGACAGCTGTCTAGGAGGAAACCATGTCGGAAAATCCGGACCTCCAGGCTAGCGAACAGTGTCTTACCCACTTACCTTCCTAACTCTAAAACCAAATGGTGAAAAATCCTGCAGGGATTAATAAATCCTCTATGAACTCTGTCCCAAGCTTTAGCAGTCAAAATGTTTTAAGAATACTAGAAATGTTATTCATGTTTTAGATATTTTATTCATTATCTGGAGGCAAATCATTCGACTTTAATAGAATAAATTAACAATTAATTTCACAAAAGAATGTTATATTTACCATAGCTTTTTTATCTGCTTCTGATTTATCCGTTTTATCTTGAGCTTTCTCGGTATATTTTAACAACAGAGAATTACCCAATCGTGATCCCAGAAATAAATAACCATCATCACATTGACACGTCTATAATAAAAATAAAATAAACACCAATTAATAATACAAATTCTGCAAACTCAAACTTTATATATACAACCATTAGTGTCATATATAGAACATCACTCAGAGAGAGAGAGAGAGGATTTAACATCCACTCGACACAAACTATGTCATTTTGGGACTAACATTTGGCTTAATTTTATTTCAGTAAATCACTTGCGCATAGAGGTCTTTTTTAGTGGGATTAAACCAGAGGACCCGGAGAAAACCCACGAGGTTGGACAGGCGACCCTACTACTTGTCATGTACAACCGGGGAATCGAAATCTAAACTATAGCGAGGAACAATATTTAAAACATGTAAAACTACTTACACAGGTTGTTAACACACTGGATGCTGCCTTGTCAAAATGGAAACTTCTAACAGTTCTCATACCATCAACGACCAGTGTTAAAACATAGCTACAAATAAATGAAAAAAAGAAGCTTTTAAATTATTCAACATCAGTTATAGATTAATGAAAAGATATTAAAGTTGTCCAGGAATTTTATTTCAAAATCAGAATAAAATCGAAGCAAGAGTGGGTCAAAGTGTCAGAATGATTCTGAGGAGAGAGAAAAATGGATTTTTAACTCATGGTTCAATTTTATTTCAATAATTCGCTTGCATGTAGGTATCTTTTAGAAGTGGGAGGAAACAGGAGGACCTGGAGTAAACCCACAAGATTGGACAGTTGACCGAACTCCTTGTCACTTATAAGCTAGGAATCGAAACCACGCTATATGACTCAATGACAGACTTTATGATATAAAGTGCATGCCACGCAACATGCCAATCTGATTAAAACACAGACCCTATTTCGTTTCGTTTCGTTTTATATAGTTCAAGATTTTGTTTTACTTGTCTTTACTACACTAGAATCTGGAAGAGTTGTTATGCAACCCGTGTTCTGGATGATGTGAGCTGCATGGAACTGTGCATAACCCACTAGAAACATCAACGTTGATTGGTTAATCAAATGTCTGAAGTCACAGGGTAAAAAACCTCTTGCATGACCTCTGACGTGACCTTCCACTACAACCGGTCAGATCTTCATGTAGTGCAGGCCATAGAAAGTATAAAAAAACAAAAAACGAAATATAGATCTGTATTTAATCAGATTGCGCAACCGGCCTAAATGTATAATGGTAACAACTTAAAAACTTACAGTTCTCCACCTTTAAGAGATAAGACAAGTCTATCTGTTGATATCATGGCCGCCTGTGAACAATCAAGGGCTATTCTTACACCTTCTTGAGGACCTGTTATAAAAAAAAATTTAAGATAAGATCTTTGTTTAAATTATTTAATTCAGTAATACCTTGTGTTGGTATTTTGTCTGCAACAGATTAAATTTGTAACAGAAATTTGAGAGTATTTCCATAGAAATTTAAAATTGGTTGATGTGGTGTAACAGTTTCATTCCACTTAAATATAATTTCATTTAATATCCATCCATAAACATAAAAACTTATAATAATACTATTAATATCCATAAACAATTATATTAGGTCAAAGAAAAAATATACCTGTGTATACGGTTGGTCGGAAATATTCTTTTTACTTTGTTTGTCATGGATTTGAATTATCTATTTTCTAGCATTTTTAACTTAATTACTGAGTGAGGTTCTTAAAGGGGCATTATGGGAGATTAGATAAAGAGTTGACAATTCTCGCTATAATAGTTTTAAAAAATAGATAACGTAAATAGAATATGCTGAAGATTTCAGCCAAATTGACCCATTCTGAACCGAGATATTAGCTTCAGAATTTTAGAGTAGTCTCGATCATCATTATTAAAGTCGGTACGATAAAAAAAAAAGTCTTGATTATCCATTATTATGTTTAATTATTTTTCAAAAATTGTATTCAAATCCAGTAAATATCGTAGCCTAGCAATGGCATCGAGAGTTGATTATGGTCTGGATAAGTTAATTAATGTCTATTTAATAATTTAGATAACATTTCAGATCGAGAAAAAGACCTTAAATAGGCAGACTTGCTCTTACATAATGTATGTTTAAGCATACTGGTAATACAATACAATGGTAACTTACGTAAAGGAAAAGCTGAACTTGATTCTGCTATACTATTTAAAGAGACAGCGTATGGTGGAACACTTTGGTTTAAATATAATAATGAATTAACAGCAAATACAAGTACACCACCTGTAATATAGAAACAAATTATTGGTTAATCAAGTGTCTGAAATCATAGGGTCAAAAGCCGCTCGCATGACCTCTTGACGCGACCTCCCAAAACAACTGTTCAGATCTTCATGTAGTGTAGGCCATCGAAAATATAAAAAATCGAAACGAAATATAGATCTGTATTTTCATCAGATTGTATGACAATAGAATACATACCTATTGGTCTTGGTATTGCTATGGATCCGAAACAATCAAATGGTAATGAATTGATATGCCAGATTATAGGATGAACTTTCTGTTGTATATTTAAAGATATAGCGACGATACAACACGTATCATTTCTCACAGCAACACGACTACAAATAAACACAAATTTTATCTTTAATTATACATTTGCTACAAATGAAATGTGGATTAACATGTTAATTTTCAGCATACACCATACAGTTTGCTATGGGGAAAATTTTGCCCTGACAGTGGCACTACAACCTGGTCTTATTTCGAATTCCAACTGTCAAGGGCTTTTTTACACTGGATCTCGATTTTTGGTCCCATCCGAATGACTATAGACACTGTCTTTGCCAGGCCGTCCATTGATTTATTACAAACTTTGGAAGTTAAAAATGAAACATCCTACTGTTCTGCTACAAATTGGCTAATGAAGACGGGCATATGTCATACAGTGTGCTATGATGGACATTTTTCCCGGACAGCGGCACTATGTCCTACACTTATTTTGAATTTCAACTGTCAAGGGATCTTTCACATGCACACCAATGTGTACACAGAATGTTGGTTTTTTTGTCCTATCCGAACGACTACACATTGTCCTTTGCCAGACTCTCTGTCCTGCACCGCTGACCAGGGGAACCATGCCGGAAAATTCTGATGAACTTTCTCAACCAACGCAGGAATTGAACACTGGACCTCCAGGTTAGCGAGCCAACGTCTTACTCACTGAGCCACTGTGGCTCCCGGAATGATCAGTGGAATATCACCGCAGAAGATAATGAATCACCAGCAATTGTTAATAATATCTCTCTCCCTAACTTTGTTAATCGCGATATAATAAAGTATTATTTAATAGTCATATAGGAATAACTGTACATACCCTGCCCAAGTCATTAAAGGTTCATAAAGAATAAATACAGTTGGTTCGTAATAACCGTGGAGAAACTGGAAATCTATAACATTAGTTATCTTCTCATCTAATTTTCTCAGATCTACTATATACGTTGACATGATGGGGGAGGAACCACTGAAAATATAAAAATACGCAAAACTATTGAAATTGGTACATCTTAGCTAAATCTTTGTCTACTATAAAGAGAGAGAGAAATGGGGTTTAACGTCCACTCAACAAAAACAAGGTCATTTCAGGACTAATATGGTACAATTTTATTTTAATAAGTCGCTTGTACGTAGAGTTTAGGGTTTCGTAATAGTGGGAGGAAACTGAATTCCAAATTCTATGGGATCTTTTATGTGCACACCAATGTATACACTGGACCTCGGTCTTTTCGTCCAATCCAAATGACTAGACAGCTGTGCTTGTCAGGCCCTCCATCCTGCACTACTGACAAGGGGAAACCATGTCTGAACCTCCCGATGGACTTTCTTGGCCAATGCAGTGATCAATGCTAGCGAGCCAGCATCTTACCCACTTAGCCACAGTGGCTCCAAAATGTAATGGAATATCTTACCCTCCAGGTGTAGCTTGGTCAATATCATCTATAACAGCATCTCTTCTAAATGGTAGAATAACTAGATGTGTATTATACACCAACATGGCAGCACATCTTCCGTCAGGATCAACACGGACATAAGGTATACCTTGTGGTCTAACAAAACCACCCTACAAAATTCATCAAATCAAATGAATTGATATAAGTGAAAATGAAATGCAATGTGGTTTAACGTCCTACTGTTCTACTCTGACTGGGCTAATGAAGACGGGCATACGCCATACAGTGTGCTATGAGGGAAATTTTGCTCAGGCAGCAGCACAATGGCCTAATCTTATATCGTATTCCAACTGCCAAGGAATCTTTTACGTGCAATCCTATGTATACACAGGACTATCCGAATGACTAGACAGCTGTCCTCGTCAGGCCCTCCGTCCTACACCACTGACAAGGGGAAACCACGTCGGAAAATCCCAATAAACTAGTGACATAAGCTTTAAGATCCTAATGTTCTGGACAAACTGTTGATAAGGAAAACGGGCATACGCAATAGTGTGCTATGAGGGAAATTTTGCCAGGAAAGCGGCGCTACGGCTTACTTTTAGTTTGAATTCCAACTGTAAAGGGTACACAGAACCTCGTTGTTTCTCATTCCATCCGAATGGCTAGACAGCTGTCCTTGTTTGGCTCTCGGTTGTGCACCACTGACAAGTGAAAACACCCAGAAAAGTTCAGAGAAACTTTCCCTGCCAACACCAGCAGCGAACACAGGACCTACTAGTTAGCCAGCCAACGTCATAATTGCTGAACAAACGTAGCTCCCTCTTAGGGATTTGTTAGAGAAACCTTGTGAGAGAGAGAGAGAGAGAGAGAGAGAGAGAGAGAGAGAGAGAGGGATGGTTGACCTCTACTCAACACAAACTAGGTCATTTTGGGACTAACTTATGGTTCAATTATATTTCAATAATTCACTTACGAGTAGGGGTCTTTAGCAGTGGGAGGAAACCGGATGTCCCGGAGAAAACCCACAAGGTTTGTAAGGCGACGCTACTCCTTGCAACATACAAAAGCGGAATCAAAATAATGCCAGTTGACTCAATGACAGACCTTATGATACAGCACACACGCGCCAACCATTTGGCCATCCAACCGCCTAACCTTGTGCAATAACACCTCTAACTTATGCAACATGATCCATTATTCCAAAATAAAAGTAAATCAAGTACAGAATCCCTTTCTCCCGTCCCTTAATTTATTATTCAAACAAATAAAGAATTTGTATATAAAGGCCACACCAATTTGATTTTCTGTTGAAATTTTAATTTTTATTTCTTCAGGAAAAGATCGAATTCAAAAACCAAAAGTACTTGGTTCCCTTATTCAAACATGAAATTCGTATTGGTTTGGCCTGTGTGGAATAAAAGTTTTAGGACCAATCAAAAGACTTATTACAAATCCATCAACGAATATATGTATAGTTTCTACTTGCCTTGAGTTCACTTTCTTCAAATTGATGTAAAGAAGAAGTTTTTAAATTGTGTGTAGCTGGATCATACTCTAGTACAGATAGCTGAAATAATTAATACTATTTATATACAACCCAATAATAATAATAATAATATGAACTATATATAGCTCTAATTCCACACTAAAAGCAAAGTTAGGACGGTCTAATGAGTGCTAGTAAAGACGGTTTGGGGTGTTCTAAGGGCCCCTAGCTAGGAGGTTTTGCAGTGGTCTAGGGAGCCCTAGTAGGACGGTTTACTGTGGTCTAAGGAGCCCTAGTAAAGGCAGTTTGCAGTGGTCTAAGGAGTCTTAGTAAGGATGGTTTGCAGTGGTTTAAGGGGCCCTAGTTAGGACGGTCTGCAGTGGTCTAAGAAGCACTAGTAAGGACGGTCTGCAGTGGTCTAAGGAGCATTAGTAAGGAAGGTTTGTGGTGGTCTAAGGAGCCCTAGTAAGGAAGGTTTGCAACAGATATCTAGTTAGGACGGTTTGGTGTGGATTAAGGAGGCCTATTTAGGACGGTTTGGGTCAGTTGAAGGAGCCCTAATTAGGATGGTTTGGGGGGGTGTAAGGAGCCCTAGTTAGGACGGTTTGTGGTGGTCTAAGGGTTAAAGTGTTAAAGTATCATTGTATCATTTCTTACCTTAGCATCACAGAAACTTAATATTAAAGCATCTCTAACAGCTCCAGGTAGTCTTACAGATTGTAAAGACATAACAGTACCAAATAAACTATATGTTCCAACACATTCTAACTTAGTACGACGTAGCTCTACAATAATAAAATACAATATCATACATCAGATCTAAACATCAATTCTCTAGTTAGATAAGGGATCAGGTCACTTCAGGACTAACATATGATTCAATTCTATATTATTAATTCACTTGCAGGTAGGGGTCTTTAGCAGTGGGAGGAAACCGAAAGACCCGGAGAAAACCCATGAGGTTGGACAAGCAACTCTACTCTTTGTCACGTCCTTCCTTTCTCGACTAATGGAGACGAGCATACGCCATACAGTGAGCTATGAGAGAAATTTTGTCTGGAAATCAAATGAAATGAAATGGAGTTTAACGACCTACTGTTCTGCTCCTAACCTGGGCTAATGAAGACGGGCATACGCCATATAGTGTGCTATGAGTGAAATTTTGCCCGGACAGCTGCACTACGGCCTACTCTTATATCGAAATCCAACTGCCAAGGGATCTTTTACGTCCACGCCTATGTTTACACGGGACCTCGGTACCTCGACTAGACAGCTTTCCTTGTCAGGCCCTCCGTCCTGCATCACTGACAAGGGGAAACCACGCCGGAAAATCTGGATGAACTTTCTCGGCCAATGCAGGGATCGAACACCCGACCTCCGGGTTAGCGAGCTAGCGTCTTACCCACTTACCCACGTGATCCCCAAATTTTGTCTGGAAAAGAGCTCTGTACAACGTATAATTATGGAAGAACAATTACTAATTTATTTCGGTCATGTTTCACAAATTTTGAGAAAATAGCATTTGAAACGTGGGCCAAATAAATTAGTAATTACTCTTTCATAAGTATGTGTTATAGTTTATTTCAATTGTATTGTCAATTACTCAAACATCAATAATACATAATCAATAGAAGAAAAACATTTGAACAAATACGTACCTTCTGTATTTTCACTATCACTACTGGTGATCACCTGCAATAAAATATGGTAGAAGTTTTTCACAAGTTGTGTATACCGGTACATAAAAAAACAATATCTTTTAATACAGGTAAATGAATATCTTCTTTGAGTGGCATTTAGCAATTGACATAACAAATACAAAAATATAACATGGAACAAAATTAACGTTGCTTTAATTAAAGATACAGTATGTAAGATTTAGATAAAGAGTTGACCATTCTTGCTTTAATAGCTCAAAAATAGATAATGAAAAATGAATATATTGAAAACTTCATTCAATTTACTGCATTGCAAGCAAAGATATTAGCTTTTGAAGGTTTGACAAGATGTGTGCATTTAATGTAACCACTGTTAAAATTAAATCAAAATATGTCTGAACCATTCTAATCTACTTAATATCGGAGATATCAGGTGGTACCGAGATTTGATTAACAGTTGGCCATCCCTGCTCTAGAATATCAAAATTATAAACGATATATATACCTCAGCATCAATATTTAGTCTATAAATAATAAGTTGATTAACACCAGCTATCACCAGGTTCTTCTCTTCTGTACTGTATAGATTACAGTATATACTGTGTTCTATACCAGTTGGTTGATGTATCTGTTTATATACTGAATACATCCTGATCTTTTATCACCACTTACACTAGAGTTTCTTTTTCTTTTTAAATCTAGATCAAATCTGAAATACATAAGGGGTCAGTGCTACAAAATAATTTGATGTTTTAACACAAAGCAGCCGTTGTTGTTTGTATTTTAGAGGAGAGCCGAAAAAGGCACTTTTTAATCAACAAATTGAAACAATCGCTAACCTAAAAAATGCTCTCCAAGTTTCATTAAGAAGAGTTATTTAGAAATTAAGGAGAGTGATTTGATATTAAGCTGTGTGTATGGGAAATGGTTCTGAAGATCAATAACTGCATGTAAGATCATTCCTAGTTTCATATAAATGATAATAAACCCCCCATAACTTTGTAAAGAACAGCGATTTTCAATTTTATGGGGAGGGAGAAAAACCTTCCCTCAGTCAACATTCAGGAGGACCACACAGTACACTACATGCAAACAAAGTCTGATAAAAAAAAACCTGTGGACACGATCGACAAACTACACAGACATTGCAAGTGAATGGATCCTGGGGTGAGGCCCTAAGCATCCACAGCATTGTACAGTCACACATGGGCCTGTAATGATGTCATGACTCGATCATGTAGTAGGGCTGTACAATATTGCAAAAAGGGACGATATCGATATTGGCATTTTTTCAACGATATAGTTAAATATCGCGATATTTAATAATAATGTCACTTTGCTATTAAATAAATTAAATATAAATGCATTAAAGCTGATTCAGTGTGAGTAAGATTGTGGGTAAGAATTGCTTTATTCATACACTTTAAACTTATTAAAATGAACAAAACAACATCCTTTTTGGATAAAAATTAAATACAACCGCTGATGTTTAAAAAGAGTCTGCTTGTGACCGTGTGTAAGAAAATTCTCAAATATCACCTGCAGCAGAAGTAAGTGGATGCGGTCTTCAAGTATTAAATGATCCGGACTATCTTCCATTCACGCATTCGATTGGCTGCTGTATTCCTGGCCTAACAGTGACAGTAATCTATTTATAGATCGTTTTATTCTTGCTTTCAGAAATTAAGTTTCGTCGAGTTTTCTAAAAAATATTCGTTTTTTAAAAACATGACAACCTATTTATAGCCTGGTAATTAGCCGCGGTAGTGGGAAATTTCAGGCGTTTAGTAGGCCTAAGCTTTACATGTAGTAACAACTGACAATTTATTGTCGACTAAAAATAAAGTAAAAGTAACGCATACAGGATGCAGTGAAAACGGCTGCGGACACTGCGCAAGTGTTTTCAACATTTAACGATTCTCAAAACATTATTTTTATTATAGTTTATTGCTGTCAGCTAATTTCCACTGCTGTATAGTGTATTTATTATCTATTTTTATGGTAATTTGTTTCGATATTTGAAGTTTTTGGCGATATTCGATAAACCACTTTATCGACGATTTTTGGCCACATGATATCGTAGTTGGGTCTGAAAATACCATATCGCGATAAATGACTATATCAGGAATATCGTACAGCCCTATCATGTAGTACTGTAATTATTTCTTGGTATATTTTCCATTACAATCTATCCAATGCTTGTAGTTGTAGGCCTACTGATCAACTCTATTCATGACAGTACTCAATTTAATGTTATATGTACCTCCAGGCCGATATAACTATAAAGGTTTTATAAACTATACAGTGAATGGGTCACATTGATGTTTAACATTGATTGCTACTACTACTACTACTCGCCTCTGCAATTCATTATTTTTGTATGTCATGTAATGGTGGTATGTTTCTGCTGCAGGTTTGTTTTCTGGGTTTCTATTTGGTTATGTTTCGTGCTGTTCTTCTGCCCTTACTCTCTGTTAGTTGGACAAGGGTCATGTTCCTCGGATATTTATTGCACATCATAATTTGAACATGACAAAGAGTCCTAGACCTCCATTGTACCGGTAATCAATCCTATTTGATTAGGACTTTAGGGGACATTATCGTACCCTACCAAGAAATATATATACGCTCCCTTACACAGATGAAATCCGATAATTTCAGAAGATAGCTTTATTAATATTCCAAGAATAAACAAATACATTGCCATTTATTACCTGTCCAAATAATTAAAAACATGTTTTTATCACATTTCATTGCTTTTTCATGTAAGGCGCCATATTGGTTGTATGGCAAACAATTGCTGTGCGGTTTCAGTGTACAGTTTCGTACAAACAGGAGTTATTTCCCTTTTATTGCAAAATTGACCCGTAACTCAGCACGGAGCTGTTGTGCCATAATATTTTACAGGTCATGGCCGCCGCACAATAAAAGAAAAATTGGTATGGGTTTACAAATATATTTTTGCAGTTTATTCCAAAAATTATATAGGCTACTGATTTCACCTTCGAAGGTTTTATAAGATCTTACGTAATCAGGGGCGGATCCAGGAATTTTTGCAGGAGGGGGCCAGGTTTCTGAGAAAATGTATTCCCCCCACCCCCCTCGACTTGAAATTTTTTGAGAAATATATGGTCTCTATCGTTATTTTGGCGTATATACATACACATTGATCTTTTTAACAGAGAAATTCAACATCCTGTTTGACGTCAATTTTTATTATGAATTAATACGATGACATTGTGATTCAATTTTATTGATGCAAAGCATTAATTGTGATACTGATATCACATATGTCTATCTATATCATTAAGTCACGCGTTGAGTGCCCATCTGTCGCACCATCTGACAATAAAGGATAAAGCAGAAAGGCAGTGAAGGTTTTAGGGGGGCACAGTCTACAGTAGGTATTTTAGATCTATAGTCAGCAACTTTTTTCCGGGGGGGGGGGGGGGAGGGGCAAAATATTTTTTCAGGGGAGCTTTTCCCTCCCTTGCCAATGGGCCTGCTGATCAGTACCGGTAGTATGAAAATTGCATGTGCAATGTCCCAACAGTTTGGGTTGTCGGGTGGCTCAGCGTTTAAGATGCTGGCTCATATATATCATAGGTCCACGATTTTTTCGGGGTCAAGATTGAGAAAGTTCCTGGAATTTTCCAGCATGGTTCCCCCTTGTCAGTGGTGCAGGAAGAAGGGCCTGACAAGGACAGCTGTCTAAACAATCGGATGGGACGGAAACCGAGTTTCTGTGTGTACGTGTTTGCATCCATGTAAAAGAAACCTTTACAGTTAGAATTCGAAATAAGAGTATGACCTTTTGCCACTTGACTCAATGACAGGCCTTTTGATTTAAGGCGCAAAGTTATATCACTAGATCCCCTCCCCTTCCATCCCAGTAATGCTCAACCAGTGTCAAACATATACCACGGGTCAGATATGCTACAAATCGACTAGCATGTTCCACACAGCCCAATATTACCCAGTGGCACTGGGAGGGACTGCCACCCCATCCCCAACCCTGTACACACATATAAATATTGTTTTTTGGGGCCCTGACAGGATCTTGTTCCCCCTACAAATTCATGGCTCACCACGTGCCTGCCATGTAAAGCAATGATTTACAAGGAGATGTCTTACATAGATCATGGATTTTACCCAAATCTATTTTACTGAACAAAAATATTGTTCACAAAAAAAAGGTTTATTAATACATTTTTATCATTCAGTTGTTTTGATATTAATTTTATCACAGCATGCAGATTAATTAACTTATAGTTGGCATTAACAGTTTGGTCAGTTATAATGTAAACATAATATATCAGACTTAATTTGAAGAATCCAAATAGCTTAAGTTTCCTATTTATTTCATGAAGCTAAAGGCCACATCAATTTGAACTTTCCGTTTTAAAATTGTTGGTCCTGTTTCACAGGGAATAAATAATCAAAAATAACACAAATACTTGGGTTGCTCTTCTTAAAAGCTTTTGGTTCTACTTTTTCATGTGCAAGGACATAGATTCCCACCATCATTACTAATGTTACATCTTAAAGTGCACATAAGGTCACCCAACGAAATTTTTACTGTACTTGTAGCCATTGGTTACTATATGCACTTTACGGCAAGTTCACACCAATCTGATTAAATTTAACTCAGCCATCTTCACTCAAAGTTGCAAATATAGACCTCTCTTAAGTACAGAAAATTTCGCCAGGTGATCTTATGTGCACTTTAAGGTTTAACTTAATTAATTTAAGTGGGGATCTAATAAACATACTGTCCAACTTTGTAAAAAATAGGGTTTCTAACTTTAACCCTGCTTAGCCAGGGTAGGGCATCAGGGATCAGGGATCGAGGATCGAATCATGGGCTCTGCAGCATGAACACCGACTATGGAGCTTCATGGGCCCCAGAGCGACACTCCCCTCACCTTGTGCCTGACCAATTTTGTGCATACACCATTTTAATCGCTGATTATCCCTGAATGATCAACATGACATCTGACTTAAAAGGTGAACATGATGTAATAAAAAAAAAAAAATAAATAGATTTATTGACATTTTGAAAATAACACAAAACTCTCTGCACAGAAGATCAATATATTAGCCCTATTTCACAGAATTATTTGCAATAAATCTAATTTACTTTTGGCCTAAAAGAAATGTTTAAAAAATGATAGTCAGTTTTTAGTCCAACTATTCTGAAAAAGATAAGACTGCAAGAACTATCTGATAGATACCAATAGGGTCCAATATTTTGATGTTCTCATAAACTTGATAAGATAATTTATAAAGTATATTAATATAATATATGTAAACAATATAAACAAACACAACACACTAGAAATAGTTAGCTACATCAAGGTTCTTACATTAATATTTTGCCAGCCGAGCAGGTTATTCATTGAATATTGTTTTAACCCTTTAGCACTTACACCGCCCCAACCCTCACTAACTAGGCCTCCTTAGACCGTCCAAACCACCCTAATTAGATCTCCTTACACTGCCTCAAACCACGCTATCTAGGTCTCCTTACACCGCCTCAAACCACCCTAACTAGGGCTTATTACACTGCCCCAACCACCCTAACCAGGTCTCCTTAGACCACTCCAAACTGTCCTAAATAGGTCTCCTTACCCCAATTTAAACTACCCTAACTAGGGTTTCTTACACCGCCTCAAACCACCCTAACTAGGGCTTCTTACACCACCTTAATCCACCCTAACTAGGGCTTCTCACACTAGACCAAACCACCCTATCTAGGGCTTCTTACACCGCCTCAAACCACCCTAACTAGGGCTTCTTACACTAGCCCAAACCACCCTAACCAGGTCTCCTTAGATCACTCCAAACCATCCTAACTAGGGCTTCTTACACTGCCTCAAAACATACTAACTAGGCCTCAGAAGGTTTGAAGTGGTCTAAGGAACAACAGTTTCGGACTTTTCATGGATCTACCGGTATTATTAATATATCACTAATTATCTTCAAGGAATTGAGGTAGTCATTATCTAAATATACCAAGTGTTAAAGGATTAACTGTAATTAAATATTGCCATTACTTGACATGATGGCCTGGTAGATTTTGATAAATGATAAATAACAAAATATATTCAAGTAAGAGTCCTAAACTACATTAATATAAATATCAATGTACATAAGGTCAAGAAAAAAAAAATACCTGTGTTTATGGTTACTAGGCCCTCCCATTTGACTAATGCTAGTTTCCCACTGTCGTGCGATGCGTTATGATAGGATTGTCCCTGTTGAGTCCTCGATCTGGTACACACAGATACGTCTCGATACCATCAACAGTATATAATACAACCTGATAGGATCACCACGATAACTCCATGATTTCAATCGTAGCACAAATCATGATAGTGGGAACAAGCTTTTTCTTTTTTTTTGTGTGGATTGTAATATCATGGACCGTGTATATACGGTCCATGGTATTATCTATATCTAACTTAATTACCGAGTAAGCATCTTAGAAATAATACAGAAATGTCAATGTTGGAATTTGTCAAGAGTAAATCACATCAACATCGAGTTATAGAGCCTGGGGAATGAGAAAAAAGTTTAAGGTAAGCGATTTAGGCTAAAAAAAAAAAGAGGGACGTTTGGATAACGGTAAACACATGTATTTTTGGTGTGGCCTAACTACATATATATATATATAATATAAATCTAATAACATAATAACATATTATAACAAATTATAAAATAACGGATATTATTATGAGGTTATAGAAGTTAGGTCCATGCCGATAAGAAATCTGACAATAACACCAAAAAAAAAAATAGTCCAAAAAATAACATCTCCATATCCACAATTTATTTAAAAAAAATTGAAATGGTAAACGATCATTTATATGCAAATGGAAATTCCTACACACAGATGATAATAATACAATATTTTGATCTTCTTTAAAGGGACAATAACACTCTTGCTGGCTTGACAGCTCCAGAAAATAAAAAATAGCCTTATTCTAAGTATTAGATGTTTAAGTGTCCTACCTGTTATGTAAATTATCTATTACATCCTATTTTACTTGTCCAGAGGGTTCGAAAATATTTTTAAATCCAATTCACAGTCGAAAAGGTTTATGTTAGGCTTTTCAAATCATTAAGTTGAATTTGTCCAATTTTTTAAATTAGGTGTGTTAAGATGAAATTTGTATCATCAATTAATTGGAATATTGTAAAATAGTATAATTTGTTGACCAGAATAAAGATTGGGACATATTATTCAGTTACAACAAGAGTGGTATTGAGCCTTTAAGATAATTTAAATTTACATTAAAGCTGCCTCTTTTTATTCTGATTCAATTGTCACTACGGTCTGTCAGGACGTTGAATTAATTATGAGGTCCTGACAGACCATGTGACACAATCCAAGATGGGGGTTTATCTAATGTTGATATTTTTGGCTTTGTTTTCTTAAAGGGGCATTATGTAAGATTTAGATAAAGAGTTGGCCGTTTTCACTATAATTATAGTTCGAAATAGATAATGAAAAATGAATATATTGAAAATTTCATTCAAATTACTTTATTTTGAGCGAAGTTATTAATGGTTGTAGTTTTGACAAGATGTGTGCATTGATCGTGTAGCCTACTGGTCATACGAGTCTTAGCCTTGTTTCTCCATTTCTAAATTAATTCATTAAATGGCCAAACCATTCTAATCTATTTAAAATCAGAGCCATTTGATGGCATAGAAAGTTGGTTATGGTCTTGTCATGTTAATAAATGTCTAATTAATAATTTATATAACATTTAAGGCCGAAAGAAAGACCTGCAATAGGCAGATTTCGCTCTTACATAATGCATGTTTAATTAAATAATCAAATCTGAATACATTTTTGCGTAGATTAAGCCGTGAAAAGTAAGAAAGTTGTCGGAAATATGTTCATTTATAAAGGCGTAGCCTATGAATAAGACCATGGTATTGGTCTAAATTTGATTGAATGTTATAACATAGTATTTTATTGTGTTCTTTGATTGGCATTTAGTAATTGAACATATTAACACAAGGTATTATTTTATGGATACACAATTACTGAGTTTAATACTAAGTGATGTTTCAACGAGGATAATCTCGTCTTTATCAAGCCAATCATTTCCTTGATAAAGACAAGAGTATCCTTGTCGTAACGTCGCTTAATATTCAACTAAGCCAAGCCTGGAAATAAGGCACCTGTCACAGACAATGTCAGGCACAGATCAGGTTTTGTCCGACACAAAACCTCTGGTGCCTGTCATTTTGTCTGGCATCGATTTGTCTTTTTTATTGATATTATTAAAACATGTCAGGCACTAAGTTGAAAATATCAGGTACTATTTCATTAGTGCCTGACATTTTGTCAGGTACATCTAAAACCGTTATTTCCAGGCCTGGTCATTGTGTATCCATAAAATTGTTGTGTTTAGTGTGGTCATCCTTTAATCACAAACAGATAATAAAACATTTTAGAAGTTTCAATGATTCTGGTTACTGTTTGAGAAGATGAATTGTATTATAAAAACTGTTGTATGAAAGATGATTATTTATGCTCTTGAGGTTTCATGATACACTTTTCCAAATGTTTTACCCATTTTTAGAATGGCACCATTTTTACTGTTATCTGTGACTAATTCCAGGAAACCTTCTGCTACATAATCTGGCCTGTCAAAAAATGAAAATATTCAAAATGAATGAAATATAGAGTACCGGTAACGCATGTATCCTTATTCAAAAATATGAAATGGGCTAATGAAGGTGGGTATACGCCAGGCAGTGTAATATGAGGGAAAGTCGCGCTATGGCTAGCATTTCTTTTTTTCAAATTCCTGTTTTAACCAAGAACAAGTTGTTAGGACGATTTACTGAAACAATCTAAACAACTTTCTTAATCAGGATATTAATTTCTGAATCACCATTTTTAACCATGGTTGGACATTTTTCTATAAAACTTTTAACAATGGTAGGATATTTTTCTATAAAACTTTTAACCATGGTAGGACATTTTTCTAGAAAACTTTTAACTACGGTAGGCCATTTTTCTATAAAACATTTAACCATGGTAGGCCATTTTTCTATAAAACTTTTAACCATGGGTAGGCCATTATTCTATAAAACTTTTAACCATGGTAGGACATTTTTATATAAAACTTTTTAACATGGTAAGACATTTTTATATAAACTTTTAACCATGGTAGGACATTTTTCTATAAAACTTTTAACTATGGTAGGGCATTTTTCTATAAAACTTTTTACCATGGTAGGACATTTTTCTATAAAACTTTTTACCATGGTAAGACATTTTTCTATAAAACTTTTAACCATGGTAGGCCATTATTCTATAAAACTTTTTACCATGGTAGGACATTTTTCTATAAAACTTTTTACCATGGTAAGACATTTTTCTATAAAACTTTTAACCATGGTAGGCCATTATTCTATAAAACTTTTAACTATGGTAGGGCATTTTTCTATAAAACTTTTTACCATGGTAGGACATTTTTCTATAAAACTTTTTACCATGGTAAGACATTTTTCTATAAAACTTTTTAGCATGGTAGGCCATTATTTTATAAAACCTTTAACCATGGTAGGACATTTTTCTATAAAACTTTTAACCATGGTAGGATATTTTTCTATAAAACTTTTAACCATGGTAGGACATTTTTCTACAAAACTTTTAACTACGGTAGGCCATTTTTCTATAAAACTTTTAACCACGGTAGGCCATTTTTCTATAAAACTTTTAACCATGGTAGGCCATTATTCTATAAAACTTTTAACCATGGTAGGACATTTTTATATAAAACTTTTTAACATGGTAAGACATTTTTATATAAACTTTTAACCATGGTAGGACATTTTTCTATACAACTTTTAACCATGGTAGGACATTTTTCTACAAAACTTTTTAGCATGGTAAGACATTTTGCTATAAAACTTTTTAGCATGGTAGGACATTATTCTATAAAACTTTTATCCATGGTAGGATATTTTTCTATAAAACTTTTAACCATGGTAGGACATTTTTCTACAAAACTTTTAACTACGGTAGGCCATTTTTCTATAAAACTTTTAACCATGGTCATTTTTCTATAAAACTTTTAACCATGGTAGGCCATTATTCTATAGAACTTTTAACCATGGTAGGACATTTTTATATAAAACTTTTTAACATGGTAAGACATTTTTATATAAACTTTTAACCATGGTAGGACATTTTTCTATAAAACTTTTAACCATGGTAGGACATTTTTATACGCCCACATTTTCATGTGGACGTATTATGCCATCTACAGGTCACAATTCTTATCCGATTTTCACAAAACTTGAAATATAGGTGTATCTCCAAAAGATCGTGGCTGCTTTCGATATTGGCATGTATCGGATCGAAACTCATGGATTATGGCCCCAGTTTGTACGAAAAATCACGTTTTTGGCTTGTGGACCCTATAGAGGTCACAATTTTTATCCGATTTTATTGAATCTTGAAATGTAAGTTTATAACCCAAAGATCTCGGTTCCTTTCGATATTCGCGCATATCGGACTGAAACTTCCTGAATTATGGCCCATGATTGTACGAAAAATCGCGTTTTTTGGCTTGTGGACCCTATAGAGGTCATAATTTTTATCCGATTTAAAAAAACGTATTATTATATCACCGTTACACCATAAGAATGACTGAGTTCGAATTTCGTGAAAATCGGCCTAAAATTGACAGACAAAATGGCCGCCATTCGTTCTCAAATAGCGTAAAAATATGGTATATCAAGGTTGTGGACCCTATAGAGGTCACAATTTTTATCAGATTTTGTTGAAACTTGAAATATAAGTTTATAACCCAAAGATCTCGGTTCCTTTCGATATTCGCGCATATCGGACCGTAACTTCCTGAATTATGGCACCTGATTGTACGAAAAATCGTGTTTTTAGCTTGTGGACCCTATAGAGGTCATAATTTTTATCCGATTTAAAAAAACGTATAATTATATCATCGTTACACCATAAGGACGACTGAGTTAGAATTTCATGAAAATCGGCCCAAAATTGACAGACAAAATGGCCGCCATTCGTTCTCAAATAGCGTAAAAATATGGTATATCAAGGTTGTGGACCCTATAGAGGTCGTAATTTTTATCCGATTTTGTTGAAACTTGAAATATAAGTTTATAACCCAAAGATCTCGGTTCCTTTCGATATTCGCGCATATCGGACCGTAACTTCCTGAATTATGGCCCCTGATTATACGAAAAATCGTGTTTTTAGCTTGTGGACCCTATAGAGGTCATAATTTTTATCCGATTTAAAAAAACGTATAATTATATCATCGTTACACCATAAGGACGACTGAGTTCGAATTTCGTGAAAATCGGCCCAAAATTGACAGACAAAATGGCCGCCGTTCGTTCTCAAATAGCGTAAAAATATGGTATATCAAGGTTGTGGACCCTATAGAGGTCATAATTTTTATCCTATTTTGTTGAAACTTGAAATGTAAGTTTATAACCCAAAGATCTCGATTCCTTTTGATATTCGCGCATATCGGATCGTAACTTCCTGAATTATGGCTTGTGGACCCTATAGAGGTCATAATTTTTATCCGATTTAAAAAATCGTATTATTATATCACCGTTACACCCGAAGGATGGCTGAGTTCGAGTTTCGTGGAATTCAGCCCAAAATTGACAGACAAAATGGCCGCCCTTCGTTCTCAAATAGCGTAAAAACATGGTATATCAAGGTTGTAGACTCTATAGAGGTCACAATTTTTATCTGATTTTGTTGAAACTTGCAATATAAGTTTATAACCTAAAGATCTTGGTTCCTTTCGATATTCGCGCATATTGGACCATAACTTCCTGAATTATGGCCCCTGATTGTACGAAAAATCGCGTTTTTAGCTTGTGGACCCTATAGAGGTCATAATTTTTATCCGATTTAAAAAAACGTATTATTATATCACCGTTACACCCTAACGGTGAAAATCGGCCTAAAACTGACAGACAAAATGGCCGCCCCTCGTTCTCAAATAGCTTAAAAATATGGTATATCAAGGTTGTGGACCCTATAGAGGTCACAATTTTTATCCGATTTTGTTGAAACTTGAAATGTAAGTTTATAACCCAAAGATTTCGGTTCCTTTCGATATTTGCGCATATCGAATTGTAATTTCCTGAATTATGGCCCTTGATTGTAGGAAAAATCACTTTGTTTTTAGCTGTCTTCTCTATCCATCTCTCGAAAATGTGGGCGTATATTCTGCCTGGCAGCCGCTGGTTCTATAAAACTTTTAACCATGGTAGGCCATTATTCTACAAAACTATTAACCATGGTAGAATATTTTTATACGCCCACATTTTCATGTGGACGTATTATGCAGTCGCCCCTGTCCGTCCGTCCGTCCGTCCACAATTGTTTGTGGACTCTCTATTGGCATGTATCGGATCGAAACTTCATGGATTATGGCCCCTGTTTGTACGAAAAATCACGTTTTTAGCTTGTGGACCCTATAGAGATCACAATGTTTATCCGATTTTGTTGAAACTTGAAATGTAAGTTTATAACCCAAAGATCTCAGTTCCTTTCGATATTTGCTCATATCGGACAGTAACTTCCTGAATTATGGCCCCTGATTGTACGAAAAATCATGTTTTTAGCTTGTGGACCCTATAGAAGTCATATTTTTTATCGGATCTAAAAAACCGTTCTATTATATCACCGTTACACCCTAAGGATGACTGAGTTCGAATTTCGTGAAAATCGGCCCAAAATTGACAGACAAAATGGCCACCGTTCGTTCCCAAATAGCGTAAGAATATGGTATATCAAGGTTGTGGACCCTATAGGGGTCACAATTTTTATCCGATTTTGTTGAAACTTGAAATGTAAGTTTATAACCCAAAGATCTCGGTTCCTTTCGATATTCGTGCATATCGTACCGTAACTTCCTGAATTATGGCCCCTGATTGTACGAAAAATCACGATTTTAGCTTGTGGACCCTATAGAAGTCAATTTTTTTCCGATTTAAAAAACCGTTCTATTATATCACCGTTACATCCTAAGGATGACTGAGTTCGAATTTCGTGAAAATCGGCCCAAAATTGACAGACAAAATGGCCGCCATTCGTTCCCAAATAGCGTAAGAATATGGTATAGCAAGGTTGTGGACCCTATAGGGGTCACAATTTTTATCCGATTTTGTTGAAACTTGAAATGTAAGTTTATAACCCAAAGATCTCGGTTCCTTTCGATATTCGTGCATATCGGACCGTAACTTCCTGATTTATGACTGCTGGTTGTACGAAAAATCACGTTTTTAGCATGTGGACCCTATAGAAGTCATCATTTTTCCCGATTTAAAAAAAATTGCATTTATATATCACCGTTACACCCTAGGGACGACTGAATTCGAATTTCGTGAAAATCGGCCCAAAATTGACAGACAAAATGGCCGCCGTTCGTTCTCAAATAGCGTAAGAAAATGGTATATCAAGGTTGTGGACCCTATAGAGGTCATAATTTTTATCCGATTTTGTTGAAACTTGAAATGTAAGTTTATAACCCAAAGATCTCGGTTCCTTTCGATATTCGCGCATATCGGACTGAAACTTCCTGAATTATGACCACGTTTTTAGCTTGATTACCCTATAGAGGTCATAATTTTTATCCGATTTAACAAAAAGTATTATTATATCACCGTTACACCCTAAGGACGACTGAGTTTGAATTTCATGAAAATCGGCCCAAAATTGACAGACAAAATGGCCGCCGTTCATTCTCAAATAGCGTAAAAATATGGTATATCAAGGTTGTGGACCCTATAGAGGTCACAATTTTTATCCGATTTTGTTGAAACTTGAAATATAAGTTTATAACCCAAAGATCTCGATTCCTTTCTTTTTTTGCCCATATCGGACCGTAACTTCCTGAATTATGGCCCCTGATTGTACGAAAAATAATGTTTTTAGCTTGTGGACCGATTTAAAAAACTGTATTATTATATTACCGTTCCACCCTAAGGACAGTTGAGTTTGAATTTTGTGAAAATCGCCCCAAAATTGACAGACAAAATGGCCGCCGTTCGTTCTCAAATAGCATAAAAATATGGTACATGTGTATATCAAGGTTGTGGACCCTATAGAGGTCACAATTTTTATCTGATTTTGTTGAAACTTGAAATGTAAGTTTATAACACAAAGATCTCAGTTCCTTTCGATATTTGCGCATATTGAATTGTAATTTCCTGAATTATGGCCCTTGATTGTAGGAAAAATCACTTTCTTGTTACCTTGTTCTCTATCCATCTCTCGAAAATGTGGGCGTATCCTGCCTGGCAGCCGCTGGTTCTATAATACTTTTAACCACGGTAGAGCATTTTTATATGGTAGGACATTTTTCTATAAAACTTTTAACCATGGTAGGACATTTTCCTATAAAACTTTTAACCATGGTAGGACATTTTCCTATAAAACTTTTAACTATGGTAGGACATTTTTCTATGGTAGGACATTTTTCTATAAAACTTTTAACCATGGTAGGATATTATTCTATAAACTTTTAACCATGGTAGGACTTTTTTCTACAAAACTATTAACCATGGTAGAATATTTTTCTATAATACTTTTAACCATGGTAGGGCATTTTTATATGGTAGGACATTTTTCTATAAAACTTTTAACCATGGTAGGACATTTTTCTATAAAACTTTTAACCATGGTAGGACATTTTCCTATAAAACTTACGTCATTAAACCATCTTTGTGTGCATATATTTTGGCTTTACTGACACTTAAACAATTTTCTTCTGCTAAAGATGATACCAGATTCGTATCAACAAACGCAGGACATAAAATATTGATCCTCACACCATTCTGTGCCGTCTCGGGAAACATCTGAAAATAGAATATAAAATATATTTATTCTACGAATTCGCTAATCACTTTGTAAATATTTCATTTGTATGTATAACACGTAATTGTTTGTGATATCACTTCGGTGGTAAAACATAGTGTTGCCAGGCAACAAATAGGCACTTATCAACAGCTTTTCTAATTAAGGGATAATAACTATGCATAAATATAATGTGTGAGTCTGGTTTCGGAAAGGATTCCTGCTAATGATTAGCCAAATAATTCCACTAAGTTTGAGGTTTTTTTTTTATAAAACTCTTACCTGTTGAGCATTTACTCGAATTTGATGTCAGGGGCAATAACTAAGCATAAATTGATGCAAGGCTCACAATTTGGGCATTTTAAAAAAAAAAGATTGATGAAGAATTTAAAAATATTTCATGAAGTGTAACATTTCTATTCATTGCTCATTACTAAAGAAAAAGCATTTAATTGTATGTTTTTTTAGTTTTCCCTTTAGAAATATATTATAAGAGAGAGAGAGAGAGAGAGAGAGAGAGAAATGGGGTTTAACTTCCACTCGACACAAACTAGGTCATTTCGGGACTAACACATGGTTTAATTTTATTTCAATAATTCGCTTGTGCGTAGGGGTCTTTAGTAGTGGAAGGAAACTGGAGGATCCAGAGAAAACCTACGAGGTTGGACAGGCGACCCTACTCCTGGCCACATACAACCGGAGAATTGAAACCACGCCAGTTGACTCAATGGCAGACCTTATGATACAGCGCATGCCATCCAACTCCCTCTTTGAAATATAAGGAACCAAATAGTTATTTAACTTACTGCTACACTTCTTGAAAATCCAACAATAGCATGTTTAGTTGCACAATAAACTGGTCCAAATGGATTAGGATTTAAACCTGAAATTTTAAATAATATGCATTCATAAAATTCAAGCAAACATTTTTTTTACATACTTTTCAGTAAAACATACAATACTTTCAGTAAAACATACAATACTTTCAGTAAAACATACAATATTTTTTCAGTAAAACATACAATATTTTTTTCAGCAAAACATACAATACTTTTCAGTAAAACATACAATACTTTTCAGTAAAGCATACAATATTTTTCACTAAAACATACAATATTTTTCAGTATAATTCTTTAGCAGTGGGAAGAAACCGGTTGACCCGTAAAAAACCCAAGAGGTTGGACAGGCGACCCTACTCCTTGTTATGTACATCCAGGGAATCGAAATCACGCAAGCTGACTCAATGAGTAATTTAATTAGTGAATATTTTGTACCTGCCATTGATGATATGTTGACAATAACTCCACCTCTTCCACCCTGATCTTGTCTCATATATTGTAGAGCTAAATGTGTTCCTCTTATACAACCTTTCTGAAATCAGAGTAACATATTGAATATAGGTTACCAGCACTGTTCTTAAAAGGCTGCTTTTTGTCAGCTTTAGCTGATTGATGTTTATTTAGCCGATTGGTAAAACAATAAACCAGCCACTAGGGTATCATAAATCATTCGGCTTTCGGCTAAAGTACAACGGGTTAATTATTACATGTTTATTAAACATACATTATGCAAGAGCTAAATCTGCCTATTTCAGGTCTTTCTTTAGGTGTGAAATGTTATCTAAATTATTAATGAGACATTAATTAACTTATCCAGACCATAATCAACTTTCGATGTCAACGCTAGCCTGCAATATTTACTGGATTAGGATCCCATTTGCTGCTCAACTTTCATTCTTGATTTAATCATGAAATGGATAATCAAGACTATGTTTTTTTATCGTACCAACTTTAGTAATGACGACGAGGCTAGGCCCTAAATTCAATCCCAAAAATCTTGGTTCAGAGTGGATCAATTTGACTGAAATTTTCAGCAAATTCCCTTTACATTATCTAGTTTTTAACTTTTATAGTGAGAACTGCCAGCTCTTTATCTAATCTCCCATAATGTATCTTTGGGGATCACGGTGGCTAAGTGGGTAAGGCGCTGGCTCGCTAGCCTGGAGGTCGGGTGTTCGATCCCTGCATTGGCCGAGAAAGTTCATCCAGATTTTCCGGCGTGGTTCCCCCTTGTCAGTGATGCAGGACGAAGGGCCTGACAAGGACAGCTGTCTAGTCATTCGGATGAGACGAAAAACCGAGGTCCTGTGTACACATTGGCGTGCACGTAAAAGATCCCTTGACAGTTGGAATTCGATATAAGAGTAGGCCGTAGTGCCGCTGTCCGGGCAAAATTTCCCTCATAGCACACTGTATGGCGTATGCCCGTCTTCATTAGCCCAGTTCGGAGCAAAACAGTAGGACGTTAAACCCCATTTCATTTCATTTCATTTCATAATGTATCTTTAAGAAGTCAATCAACTTGTTTGTCGCCTACAACAACAGTCATGTCTTCAACTAACATACTAGCTTTCTTTTTTTTTGTCATTTATACTTAGCAACTGAAAAGTTTAAATTGGCTCGCTAGCCTGGAGATCGCATGTGCAGTCCCTGCATTGGCTGAGAAAGTAACATTGGTTTTGTATTTCTAATACCGTAGGCGTCTATTGTTCTCATAAAAAAAAGTGTGTTTCTACATCAACATGTTTATATGTTACTGGATATTTATTTAGAGGAGCCCTCTGGGGGTTATCCTCCTAGGTTTGAAAAGTTGGGTAGTCAATGGTGATTTTATGGCGGTTATCTGGACCCAAACATAACATTCAATTATGTCAAACCGAGCCAATGAAAATATCAAATTTACAGGTTTTATGGAAACAAATTAAAAAGTGAATTTTTATACTGTTATGTAAGAGTAGGTCCTCTAGACACCCCTGTCTAGAACCACCACTGTAGTGCTGTAACATGTTTCTTTATCAGTCTTATAATGACGAATCAAGGAAATGAAATGAAATGAAATGAAACAGGGTTTAACGTCCTACTGTTCTGCGCCAACTGGGCTAATGAAGACGGGCATACGCAATACAGTGTGATATGAGGGAAATTTTTCCCAGACAGCGGCGCTAAGGCCTACTCTTAAAACGAATTCCAACTGTCTAGGTATCTTTTACGTGCACACCAATGTGTACATGGGACTTTGGTTGTTCACCCCATCCGAATGACTAGACAGCTGTCCTTGTCGGGCCCTCTGTCCAGCACTACTGACAAGGGGAAACCACTCCGGAAAAGATGAATCAAGAATGATTATCTATTTCTAAATACATGTACATTAATACTGAAGAAACTGAACCAAAGTTTTTCTGTTTTCAAACAATCCCATCTGCTTGTACAAAAGTATTTCTTTTACTGAAGAATTCTAATGTACGCGATAGATGCAACTCCACCCATATAAAACATTTGCCATTTTGTTGACAAATCAGTGTAAAAGCTTTCCACTGTTATTTTCACATGATCTAAGAATAATACTTTTAACCTCATGTAAGATGTATTCACATGATGTAAGAATAATACTCTAACCTCCTTCAAGATGTTTTCAAAAAGAATTGAAGACATGCATGTTACCGACATTTAAGAAATGTCAGAAGAAGAATTAAATATCATTTTGATAAGGCATGTATCCTTGTTGTTTAACATATGTTGATTTATGAAGGCAAAAATGAAATGAAATGAAACGGGGTTTAACGTCCTACTGTTCTGCTTCAACTGGGCTAATGAAGACGGGCATACTCCATACAGTGTGCTATGAGGGAAATTTTGCCCGGGCAGGTGCACTATGGCCTACTCTTTTATCAAATTCCAACTGCCAAGGGATTTTTTACCTGCATTCCAATGTATACACGGGTTCTTTTTTTTTGTCCCATCCAAACGACTAGATAGCTGTCCTTGTCAGGCCCTCCATCCTGCAACACTGACAAGGGGAAACCACACCGGTTTTATGAATATAGTACAATTATGTTTTATGAATACAATTAAAGAAGTAAGAGTGATATCGATCATAATATTCATTAATTTCTTTGATAGAGGGAGTTGCTGTGGCTCAGTGAATAAGATGCTCACTTGCTAACCAGGACGTCCAGGGTTCGATCCTGGTGTTAGTCTAGAAAGTTCTCCGTGATTTTCCAGCATGGTTACCCCTTGTAGTGCAGGACAGAAGGCCTGGCAAAGAACAGTTTCTAGTTGCATGGATGGGGCAAAAAAAATGGGGTCCTGTCAAGTGTCTTGTCGTTCGAATGGGATGAAAAACCAAGGTCCTGTGTACACATTGGCATACCTGTAAAGAACCCGTAAAATAGAATTGTGTAATATTCTAGATCTATGTGAGACATCTTTTAAATTAGGGAGACGCTGTGGCTTGGTGAGTAAGATGCTGCCTCACAAACCAGGAGTTCCATGGTTCGATGCCGATGTTTTTCGAGAAACTATCACAATTGGTCATTAATACCAAGGTTCGATCCTGGTGTTATCCGAAAAGTTTTCTGGGATCATCCAGCTTGGTTTTCCCTTGTTAGTGGTCCTGGACAGATGGCTTAGCAAGAACAGTGTCTAGTTGCTCGGATAGGATGAAAAAATAGAGGTCCTGTTCACGTAAAAGAACCCTTGATAGTTGGAGTTTGATATAAAAGTAGTTTGTTGCAAAATTCCCCTCATAGCAGACTGTGTTCTTTTACGTGCACCTCAATGTGTACACAGTGGACCTCAGTTTTTTGTACCATCCAAATGACTATACATCACATTACTTGCCCTGACAAGTGGAAACCATGCTTGGAAATTCTCCTGAAATACTTCCTCAGCCAATGCTGGGTTCAAAATTAGGACATTCTGGTTGAACATATTTTATAATGTGTTATGAATATTGTAGTCTACAATATGTGTTATTAATTAAAAAAACTAATAAGGATATACGGTACTACTTCTAAATTTATTAACATGCTACGTTTCGATACACATACAGATATCGTTATCAAGCAAATGTGTACTGAAACGTAGCATGATGATAAAATTCAGAAGTAGTATATCCATATAAGTGTCTTTATGTGTTATTATTAATTAATATGGTCTGAAAGAACAGATTTATCTTATGTTTACGGGGCTTTTGACAGTTCTAAGAGATAAATATGTCTAAAATACTGGAGGAAAACATCAATCATCAGATAATGATATATTGTATGTAGGCTAAAGATCCTGCAGTTATTGTGGCTGTATTATTTAAGAGAGAGAGAGAGAAATGGATTCAAAGTCCACTCGACAAAAACTTGGTCATTTCGGGACTAACACATGGTTAAATTTTATTTCAATAATTCGCTTGTGCATAGGGGGTCTTTAGCAGTGGGAGGAAACCGGGGGACACACAGAAAACCCACCAGATTGGACAGGTGACTCCACTCCTTGTCAGATACAAGCAGTTAATCGAAACCACGTCAGTTGACTCAATGACAGAACCTTGTGATACAGCGCGCATGCGCTAACCATTCAGACATCCAACTATCCAACCCCCCTGTATTATTCATAATTTACTTATCAGTATATACCTCTCTCTACTCAACCTTAAATAACCTAAATATAATTAAAATTCTTTGAAAAATTTCAATATATACCATTCAGATGATTAAACGTCATATCAACCGCACATCAGGAATATTGATACACAATTCTATGGAATATGATCACGCAGGGGAGTAACTTATTAGCAGACACCAATGAATAATTAATTAGGATCATGTGGTTTTTCTTAGTGTGCCATTCAAAATTTTGCAGCAAACATTGGAAGATGTGTGCTGCAGCACACTGGTTGAGAATCACTGGCTTATGACATACGTTGTCAAAATATGTATTCAGACCCAGTATGAATAGACTGTTTGTTTTTTCACCTGCAAACTTTGAATTTTAATGAGGCAAATGTTTAATTGTGTACATCCCTCTATTTACATAGAAAATCCTTGGAGCAACTAGCTGCATCACTAATCTACATAATACCATCATGATGTAATCTAATGCCAGTCATTGAAAGGCATTTTACAGTTTAAGGGGAATTTAAGGGGGCTAACACTAAAATAAGAGAAAATATGTAAATTTTTGTTAGGCCACACTAATTTGATTTTCTGTTCTTCATGAACACCTGTAAAAATTAAATTTCTTATTTCTTCTGGACAAAGATTCATTTAAAAACCAAATGTACCTTGGTTGCACTGTTCAAAAGTTTTTAGTTTCAAATTTTAATATTTTGAATTTTTAAATGAAATGAAATGGGGTTTAACGTCCTACTGTTCTGCTCCTACTGGGCTAATGAAGACGGGTTTTGAATTTTGAAACAAAACATCTTTCACATGATTAATGTGGCTATTTATCAAGGTAGCAAAGAACTAAAAATAAAATTGTTTTGGCCTTATCTTTTATCTTTCAAAGAGAAGTCCCAGTTTACAAATTCATACCAGTTTTCTGTCCCATTCAAATGACTAGACACTGTTCCTTGTCAGGGAAATCCGAGGAACTTTCTTGTCCAATACGACTAGCGAACCCACAACCTCGTGATTAGTGAGGCAAGCGTGTGAAGGACATTTTAATGTTGATAAAATGCACAATATTTGTAAGCAACTTTACAGATGCATTATGTAAAAGATAAATCTGCCCATCATTTTTTTCTAGTTTCAATCCCTGCATAGGACCGAGAAAGTTCATCTAGATTTTCTGGCGTGGTTCTCCCTTGTCAGTGGTACAGCACAAAGGGCCTGGCAAGGGACAACAGTACACATTGGCGTGCATATAAGAGTAGTCCGTAGTGCTGCTGTCTGGGCAAAATTCCCCTCATAGCACACTGGCACACTGTATGGCATATGCCCGCCTTCATTAGCCCAGTCGGAGCAGAACAGTAGGGCGTTAAACCCCATTTCATTTCATTTCATTTCCATTTAGATACCTACCAGATTTATATCTACAGCCTTCTCCCAAAGAGGATCAGTCTCCCCACCAATACCAGCGTTATTACATACAATATCTAGTCCACCAAACTTCTCTTTAGTAGCTTTAAAGGCATCTATAAAATACCAAAACAAGGGTTGCCAGGCAAAGAAACACTCACTACTAGCTGCTTTATCGTCCTTGATATCATACTAGTTCAAACCAATCAAAGTACATTAACAAAATTATGTTATAAGAATATCACTAAGACACCAATCAAAGTTTGGAAATACACCCACACAGCAAGTATATCTCAACAGCAAATTATCCGTAAGGAAAAACTGGATGTTAACCTTCAAGTAATCTAATCTCTATAGTGTTCACAAGCTTATTCATACAAATAACATATCTCTGTAACAGAAAATCTTAGATTGCTGAAAATATTAACAAGATTCATCCTGGTCGCGGAACTCTGAATATCGATAGGATTCATCCTTTGAAAATGAGGTTTAACGTCCACGCGACACAAACTAGGTTATTTTGGAACTAACACATGGTTCAAATTTATTTCAATAATTCGTTTGCACATAGGGGTCTTTAACAGTGGGAGGAAACCGGAGGACCTAAAGAAAACCATTTTAAGCATGTATAGCTCTATTCTTTGGGGAACCTGAATTAAATTAGACGAAAATGGTCTCTAAAAGCACACATTAATGTAATATGAGTGTATAAAAAGTGATTCTTATCCAATTTTATATTTTTATTGTATTTTCTAATCAACAATCCAAATTGAACGGCAGTCATTTGTCTGCTGAGTCCATTCTACCTGGTTTTTTTAATTATCATTTTATCGTTTGTGAATCGGCCATTTTAATTACTTCAACATTGTCTTCTGAGATATATTTTTCTTTGTTCATTACAAATGGTGTCCAAAACCCTTATGTCCAAAAAGTACTTGACGTCTTGTACTGATTTTTAAATTCTAATTCATATTTTTAATTTCGAATATTATGGATAATATTGAGTTAGAAGCTTAGCTCCTTTAACTTTCATGCCTTTTTACGGGTGGCCCTTAATTTCAAATATTACAGATAATAGAGCAGTGATTCTCAACCAGTGTTCTTCCTAAGTGTGCCACAAAGTTTTGGACTGCACACTGAGAAAATGCGAAAAACCACTTGATCCGAATTGAGTATTCACTGGTGTTCATAGATGTGTTTTTCTTTATTTAGTTGGGGATCACGTGGCTAAGTGGGTAAGACGCTAGCTCGCTAGCCTGGAGGTCGGGTGTTCGATCCCTGCATTGGCCGAGAAAGTTCATCCAGTTTTTCCGGCGTGGTTCTCCCTTGTCAGTGATGCAGGACGGAGGGGCTGACAAGGAAAGCTGTCTAGTCGTTCGGATGGGACGAAAAACCGAGGTCCCGTGTACACATTGGCGTGCACGTAAAAGATCCCTTGGCAGTTGGAATTCGATATAAGAGTAGGCGATAGTGCCGCTGCCCGGGCAAAATTTCCCTCATAGCACACTGTATGGCGTATGCCCGTCTTCATTAGCCCAGGTTAGGAGCAGAACAGTAGGACGTTAAACTCCATTTCATTTCATTTCTTTATTTAGTTTGAGTCATTCGATGTGTCTATGACTAGTCTGTGTCTACGGTTGTATGCCGTCTATTACTTGCCATGTTTTTATTTTGCAAAATTCAAATATTTTTCATATACATTTAGCCAGGTGTGCTGCTATTTATTCATGTGTTCCATGGTGTGCCGTTGGCAAAAAAAGGTTGAGAACCACTGAATAAAGAGGTTTAGCTCCTTTAATTTTCATGACATATTATGGGTGGCCTTTAGGTTGATGTGAGGCTGCTGTCAACTGATAACCTGATATCACCTCTGATATTATTAATTTAATATCTTTATTTTTTACTCCAGGTTCGTCTTTACTCCATAAATATTTACATTAAAACTTTCTCCTTCATAACATCTCATCATGAACATATGTCGAGAGACAATAACTGCCATTTTATATATGTAGATATAACATGGAGAAACCTAGTTTCATTCTGTTTATTATGTGTTTAAACAACCAGCCCATTAAAAAAAACAGATTTGACATTTGAAAGAGAAAAATAATGAAAGTTTTATGTGAAAAGGCTTTTAAATTTTCGTCTTGGTGATTGTTAGTGCAATAATAAAGTATTTTTGGGTTAGATGAACTAAATTTTTAATGATAAACAGTCATGCAATTATTTACTTTATGTGTATACTGCAGTATTACTGCACACGTCCCGTCTTCATTAGCCCAGTCGAAGCGGAACAGTAGGATGTTAAACCCCATTTAATTTCATGTCATCTTTTTCAGGCAAAAGATACAAATATAACTGAATTAAGCTCTTATTAAGTTTCCTTTGAATTTAAAATAATATTTTGATTTAAATCAAATAGGTTTAACATACATTATGTAAGAGCTAAATCTGCCTATTTCAGTTAACTGAAATTTTCAGAGTATTCCTGTCACATTATCTCTTATCTAACTATTATTGTGAGAACTGCCAGCTCTTCATCTAAGGTTAAATAATGTATTTCATTTATTTCACACATCTCTCACCTGAAAAGTTTGAGTGGATTAACTGGCCAAATCGTCTAACACAATCATGTACTTTTAGATCATAAAGTCTATCAATGAGTCAAATGGCATGTGGGGTGGGGGGATGGTTGGCCGAATGGTTAGCACATGCGCGCTGTATCATAAGGTCTGTCATTGAGTCAACTGGCGTGGTTTTGATTACCCATATGTACGTGACAAAATGATATTCCCAAAATATTCACATAATTTGTTTCAATAATCAATTCACATTTCTTTTTAAACATTATCTCAGTTTGTAAATAACTTTTTATGTGGAAGTATATTGCTGTCAGTGAGATGAAGTCACTGTGACTCAGTGAGTAAGACGCTAACTCGCTAACCTTGAGGTCCCGTGTTCTATCTATGCATTGGCCAAGAAAGTTCATCAGGATTTTTCCACATGGTTCCCACAAGTGAGAGATGCTGGACAGAGGGCCTGGCAAGGGACAATGTATAGTCATTTGGATTAGACGAAAAAAACAAGATCCCATAGCAGTTGGACTTCGATATAAGAGTAGGCCATAGCACTGCTGCCTGGGCAACATTTCCCTCATAGCCCACTATATGGCGTATGCTCGTCTTCTTTAGTTCAGTCGGTGCAGAACAGTAGGACGTTAAACTCCCATTTCATGCCATTTGGTCAGTGTGAGCATATAAAAAGTTAAGTGAGACCTTATGTTTTGTGACTGGTTTTTGGGAGGAAATGAAATAAATGAAATGAAGTCTAACATTTTGCATCGACCGGGCTAATAAAGATGGGCCTACGACATATAGTGTTTTATGAGAAATATTATTTTGAATTTCAACTGTCAACGTTTTTGTTTACGTGTATGCCAATGTGTACACGAGACTTCAGTTTTCCGTACCATTCAAACGACTAAGCATGGTCCTTGCAAGGCCTTTCATCATGCATCATTGACAAGGGAAAACCTTGCTGGAAAATAATGAGGAACTTTTGGGACTGACACCAGGATCGCGTTGAAATGGGAAATGTTTACTGGGCTCATTTTCTCATAGCATTTTACATTAGAAATTCTCAACAACTAACCAATTAATTTCTACATGTCAAATTTTTATAGTTTGTAGGGTAAGGATCATGGCTTTGATCCTGTTCATATATGTTGGTCAGAACTAATTGTCTTTAAAACATTCACCGAATGTACTCACAACTCATTGGTCAATTTCGACATCTTGATACGGGCATATTCTTCATGACCCCATTTTCAAACTGATTTCCTCAGAATAACTTTATCGAATATCAACAGGAACTCAGATTTGTGGGATATAAACATACATTTCAAGTTTCATCAAAATCAGATAAAAATTGTGACCTCTAGAGAGTCCACAACCTTGGTATTACATACTTTACACTATTTACATATGGAGAGCAGTCAGTTGGACGGGAAGTTTTGGTCCGATTATACCTACAATATTGTGTAATTGTGACCTCTAGAGTGTCCACAAGTTGAAAACATGATTTTTCATACAATCAGGGCCATAATCCATGACGTTACGGCCGGATACATGCCAATATGAAAAAGATATAAACCTGTATTTCAAGTTTCATCAAAATCAGATAAAACTTGTGACCTATAAGGTGTCCACAAACAGGGACGACCACAGTATACGCCCCCAAGAAAGAGAGAGGAATCCAAAACCAATAGAATAACATAAACTTTGTTGGGAGGAGAAATGGAGTTTAACGTCCACTCGACACAAATTAGGTCATTTCAGGACTAACACATGGTTCAATTATATTTTAATAATTCGCGTTGTGGTCTTTAGCAGTGGGAGGAAACCAGAGAACCAGGAGAAAATCCATGAGGTTGGACCCTAACCCTAACCCTAACCCTAACCCTACTCCTTGTCACGTACAACCAGGGAATCGAAACCCCACCAGTTGACTCAATGACCGATCGTATTATACACTGTGCACTTGCTAACCAATCGGCCATCCAACCCCCCAACTTTGTTGGGATCCAATTCATAATAAACTTGATACATTGACACCAGTAGCTAGGAGTGGTTAAAAACAAAGTCATGGGTATCATAAAACCATCTTTTATAGCATCTAAGGTTCCGTAAATGTAAAAACTTACATCCTCTGAGAAAACAACTTTGAATTTGTTTTTAACCACGTAAAAATGTGAAAATGTGGGCGTATAAAAATCAACGACCTACTAGGGGGTGACAGCATACAACAAACTGTAGCCAAATATGTGGGATAATTTTCTATGATGAAATATCACAGATTAAGTAACATGACATGTGTGTTCTTATGACACTAGTTACCGGTAATTATCTAATATGTAATTGTAATTAAAGCACAGATTAATATTGTCAATTTTCACACAAACCTGTGGGATAATTTTCTATGATGAAATATCACAGATTAAACATGCATTATGCAAGAGCTAAATCTGCCTATTGCAGGTCTTTCTTTAGGCCTGAAATGTTTTCTAAAGTATTAATTAGACATTAATTAACTTATCCAGACCAAAATTAACTCTCGATGTCAAGGCTAGCCTTCGATATCGACTGGATTAGAATCCTATATGCTGCAAACGCTCATTGATAATTAAATCAAAAACAATGGATAATCGAGACTATGCTTTTCAACGTACTAACTTTAGTAATGATGAACGAGGCTAGGCAGAAATTTACAAAGCTGATATCTCGGTTCATAGTGGATCAATTTGACTGAAATTTTCAACAAATTACCTTTACATTATCTAGTTTTTAACTATTATAGCGAGAACTGACAGCTCTTTACCAATCTCCCATAATGTATCTTAAATTTTTAAAAATAAAAATGCATCATGCAGACTTTTGTAAGTGATATGGGATTATCTGAGAACAGGAATATTTTTTTATATGGCCTTATACAAACCTACCCCGAGGTCACAAAGCATCCTCAGACTTAAGTTTTGAATTTACTCAACTTTCAATCACTGTTTATGAGTTATATCTTTGATCCAGAAACACAAAACTTTACTTATAGTTTCTTATTTATGTATTTATACATTAAAACAACAAAAGTTTTATAAAGGGCTATAATTTAGTTAAAATAAGGCGAACAATTTTGACTGAGAATGCTTTGTGAACTCGACGCGGGACAGCATCTGATCGATTGCATGGTACAAAAACCGAGGTCCCGTGTACACATGGGGGGTTGGATGGCTGAATGGTTAGCGTGCGCACGCTGTATCATAAAGTCTGTCATTGAGTTGACTGACGTGGTTTCGAATCCCCGGTTGTACGTGGCAAGGAGTAGGGTCGCCTGTCCAACCTCGTGGGTTTTCTCCGGGTCCCCCGGTTTCCTCCCACTGCTAAAGACCCCTACACACAAGCGAATTATGTAAATAAAATTAAACCATATGTTAGTCCCGAAATGACCTAGTTTGTGTCGAGGGGACGTTAAACCCCCCTCTCTCTCTCCCGTGCATTGGCTTGAATGTAAAAGAACCCTTAACAGTTGGAATCCGAAATAAGAGTAGGCTATAATGCCTCTGACTGGTCAAAATTTCCCTCATTGCACACTGCATGGAGTATGGTCATCTTTATTAGCACAGTTGAAGCAAAAAGAATCAATCCCTATTAAAACAATCTTGCCAGTATTTAGTAAAGTGATATTTTATTTGGTAGAAGAATGACATTTTGTTGGCGGTAATCAGAGAGGCGAAACGTATACAAATTGACCATTTACTAAATAATTTGTTGACCTTTGCTGTATTGATATGACATTTATGATCTTATTAGAATAAAAATTACATATTGTTGACACACTTTCTTTTGATTATTTACAAAATTAGATTTTATCTACTAAATTACTTACTACACTTTTTAGTGTTTAAAGACCGCATGGCTCTATTGTATTTAACCTTGAAATAGACGAATAATACTTTTAAAAGCAGATATTAATGTTATATGATTGTATATAAAGTGATTTGTATTCAATTTTTGAAAACAATATTATAATTTCTAATCAATTACGTTCTGTGAAGTATGTGAACAGTCCAAGTGAACGACAGTCGTTTACGTCCGCTTAGTCCATTCCACATGTTCTTTAAATTATCATTTTGTCGTTTGTGAATCAGCCTTTACTAATTACTTCCACTTAGTGTTGTAGGATATGATTTTATTTGTTCATTACAAAATGGCACCCGAAACCATAGGGTACTGATAATAAAATGTTAATTGTGTCTTGGATATTAGGATTCTATAGTTTCACGGCAAGATAACAACATCAATATTGATTGAAATTGATCAATATTGAATCCTATTTCGTGTTTTTAATTTCGAATATTATGGAAAATATTGAGTTAGAGACTTAGCACTGTTGTCATTGTTAAAAATGTTCTAACTCATGACCACCGACAGACAGATAATCGCCATTCAGCAGACGACCACCATCAAGACTTGTCACATTAATTCTCTTGACTTAAAAGACCTAGGGAGACGTAATTCGAACTTGTCTTATTCGCCATGGCCTAGCTGGTCTTTCAAAATCAATTGCTGACTCATTTGATGACTTGAATGGGACTTTGAACTTGACTCAACTTTGATTTGAAATCCCAAGATTTGTGGGAACCCTGGTGGATAAGTCGCTGGCTCGCTAGTCTGATGGTCACATGTTTGATTCCTGCATGTTTGATTTTCCAACTTAGTTTCCCCCCTTGTCAGTGGTGCAGGAAGTGGGGCTTGACAAGGACAGCTGTCTAGTTGTTTGGATGGGACAAAAAAAACGAGGTCATGTGTATACACTGAGATGCACGTACAAGATCCCTTGGCAGTTGGAATTTGATATAAGAGTAGGCCATAGTCCCGCTGCCCGGGGAAAGTTTCCCTCATAACATACTGTATGGCGCATGCCCGTCTTCATTAGGCCAGTCAGTGCAGAACAGTAGGACATTAAACCCCATTTTATTTCATTTCATTTCATTAGCCCAGTCAGTGCAGAACAGTAGGACATTAAACCCCATTTTATTTCATTTCATTTCATTAGGCCAGTCAGTGCAGAACAGTAGGACATTAAACCCCCATTCATTTCATTTCCCATGACTTGATCCCCCCCTTCCTTTAAGGTCATATATTTCCCAGGATTCCTGTCTCATCAATTGATAAAATGTTGAAAACAATCGTATAAAATATTACCTTCCATTTGTTGTTTAGACGATACATCACATTTCATAAAGGTCACGACATTAACACCAAATTGAGCTTGAAATTCTTTTAATGTTACTTGTGCTGCTGCTTCATTTACATCTGTCATAAAAACCTGTAAATAAACACAGTTCTAAATGATATACAATGAAGTTTAACGTCCTACTATTCAGCTCCAACTGGGCTAATGAAGCCGAGCATATGCCATACAGTGTGCTATATGAGGGATTTTTTACCCAGACAGCGAAGCCACGGCCTCCTCTTATATAGATTTCAAACTATCAAGGGTTCTTTTATGTGCACGGCAATGTGTACACAGAACCATCCAAACGACTAGACGGACAGGACAGAGGGCCTGAAAAGGGAAACTGTGCTAGGAAAACCTGAGGAACTTTCTTAGCAAACACCAGGTACGAACCGGAGACCTCCAGGCTAGTAAGCCAGTGTCTTCCTCACTGAGTTCTACATGAGAAGACTGGAAAGTATTTTGGCCAATATCTAATTTTTCATTGCTTAATCGATGCTAAAATGTCCTCTAATGTATGCTAAAATGTCCTCTAATCGATGCTAAAATATCCTCAAATCAATGCTCAAATGTCCTCTAATCGATGCTAAAATGTCCTCTGATCAATGTTAAAATGTCCTCTAATCGATGTTAAAATTTCCTCTAATCGATGCTACAATGTCCTCTAATTGCTTTTCTAACATTTGCTTAAGAAGATAAATCCAAAATATCAACAGTAGATAATCTGGATTTATTTGAATAAAAAACAATTCCTGACAGGTGGCTTGTTTATATTACTGCCTGTTGTGTCATTAAAGATACATTATGCAAGAGCTAAATCTGTCTATTGCAGGTCTTTATTTAGGCCTGAATTAAATGTTATTATTAAATGTTATTATTAATTGGACATTAATTAACTTATCCAGACCATAGTCAACTCTCGATGGTATCGTAAGCCTGCGATATTTACTGGATTTGAATACATATCGTGATGGATAATTTAACATAAAAATGGATAATCGACGACCGTGACAAGCCTAGAATTCAATGGCTAATATCTTGGTTCAGAGTGGAGCAATCTGAGTGAAATTTTTAGCATATTTTGTTTTCACTGTCTAATTTTTAACTATTATATCGAGAACTGTCAGCTCTTTATCTATTCTACTGCATGAAGATCTGACCGATTATAGTGGAAGGTCATGTCAGGGGTCATACGAGCGGCTTTTCACCCTATGATGTCAGACATTTGATTAACCAATCAGCGTTGATGTTTCTAGTGGGTTACCCACAGTTCCGTGCACCTCACACCCAAAAATAGCCGTAACAGACCGTTTCATTGGCTAATCCCTCACATCAGCCAGAACACAGGTTATATAACAACTCTTCCAGATCCTAGTGTAGTAAAGACAAGTAAAACCGAATTTTGAACTATAAAAACGAAATAGGATCTGTGTTTTAATCAGATTGGAAGATTCTGCTAGTGACATAAAAATATGAAAGCAATTGTTGTTACTGACTGACTTTTTTCAGGTCTAATAATTCTTCCCAAGACGAAGAGTTGTTATACGAGAGTATAGGATTGTCATGAGATCAGAAAAAATCAAGAAAAATACAAAAGGCAGTCAGTGAATCACCTTGTACAAGGTGATTTATACATGGGTTCACTGAACATCTCTGGTATTACAATTTAAAATACTTTTTTCTAATTCAAAAAACAACTCAAATAATTTGCATATTAATATTCATAGCTACTGATTGTCGTAAGGCCACACCAATTTGATTTTATGTTCTTCGGAGTCTTGATAAATCAATAGCCAATTAGGTTATTTTGGGACCAACACATGGTTCAATTTCATTTTAATACCTTGCTTGTGCATAGGGGTCTTTAGTAGTGGAAGAACCTGTAAAATCTTTCTTTCTTATTTCTTCAGGAAAAAGATTTTTTTAAAAACCCAAAGTATTTGGTTGTACTGTTCAAAAGCTTTTAGTTTCAATTGTTTGAAATTTTAAACAAAACATCTTTCATATGATTCATGTGGCTATTTATTTATCAAAATCAAATTGGTGTAGCCTTGCTGTTTCAAGACAATATCTAATTTTTCATGATTTAAAATCCACCCAAATTGGATTATTTAATGAAGGAAAGATAATTGGCAGATAATTGGATTAAAAACATAATTGTTTATGTGGGTTAATAACAGCCATTTTAATCAATGTGAACTTTGACCATATTCTGTTTACTGGTATATAGTCGGCAGAGTATGATGAATGTTGCAGAATTTACAATTCATTAAAGTTGCATTATGTAAGAGCTGCTTTTCTTTTTTTTGCTTCAAATGTTATATAAACTATTATTTAGAGATTTATTAATATGACAAGCCTATAATCAACTCTCTAGACTATATACTGCACACAGCGATGTTCTCAGGCGTAGCTAACTAGACCAGTTGTTTTTAATCTGTAGTTAACGGGGATAACTAATATTGACCTGTTAATCTAAAGTTATGCACCCCCACCACCATGTAGACAGGCAGCCTAAGTTTGGGATGTGTAGACTAGAGCTATTGGATGGCAAAGTTTTAAATGGATTGAAACATGATTGACATTTAATGATTTAGTTTAAAAATAATGAATAGAGGCTTAGTATTAAAAGGTTGCTACAATAATACACAATCCATGCACACATCTTGTCAAAACTTCAAACAGTGATAACTTTACTCAGAATAAAGTAATTTGAATGAAATTATCAATATATTCATTTTACATTATCTATTTTTGAACTATTATAGCAAGAATGGTCAGCTCTTTATATAAATCTTATATAATGTATTTTAATACTTGTAAATACTAGAAAGAATTGAACCATTAGTGGACTGATATTCAAGCTTAACAATATTGTAGTTCAAGAGGGATTTAAAAATCTATCAAATAACAAGCATAGGGGTGGATTCAGGAATTTTTGCAGGAGGTGGTTTTTCAGTTGACAGTTGCCAATGCATGATGCCATCATCGTCTCCAAATTACGTAGGCATACATACACACTGCGCTTTTTAAAGAAAGGAATCCAACACCCCTTTTGACGTCAATTTTTATTATGAATGATGATGAAATTGTGATTCAATTTCATTAATTGTGATATCACATATGTCTGTATCATTATCTTGTGCTTTGATTTGAATGCCCATCGCATCCCACCATCTGATGATAAAAGATAAAGCACGTGAACCTGACACTTTTCTCATAAATGTATTGTTGTTCAAAATTGTTTTTATATATCTGAGAAGGGGGGGGGTAAACACTCCATCGTCCCCTCTGGATCCGCCCCTGGAGCAGTGGCTTTAAGAACCATTCCACGAGAAAACCATGCAGAAGGTTCGAAGGTGGGGGTCGGCCGATTGAGTTCATATTTACAGGGTTTGGTCGACCCATCGATCGTACTCCACAACCAAAATCGCCGATTTTAAAAATCAATCGTTTCTGAGATACAGCCCGATTACGTTTTTCGGGTAATTTTCGCCATTTTCCCGTCAAATTTTGACCATTTTTGTAGCATTGCTATAGCCGTTAATCGACCAATGGCGAACTAAGTTTTGGTGGGTAATTATAGTCTGGGTCTCACCCTACCATATTATATGGTCACCCAGTGCAACCTCTCTTTCCGTAGGTGTCATGACACTACACAAAATACGTGTCTGCAGACACCTGAATTATACCCTTTCTTCAAATTGCGATAACTCCACTGGAGCAGGGTTTACAATAAAAGTGGAAATCGTTTTATTTGCAGTTTGACCTGTTCTAACAACATAAAAAATAAAATTGTTGTCAACTAACCTTCAACAGTATGAAAATTTGTGTCGAAAGTTGCGAAATTCGTCACTTTTCGCATCGAATTTCCGCTTTTTAAGTGTTGGGATTTCGTCCGTACATTCCGGACATGTCCTGCACTATTTCATCAATCTAGTCTTGAACAGAGGTCATTGCTTCTCTTTTGTAGGACTATTTATCAATCCAATAAGAGTGAGTATCAACCTTATCTACGTGATTACCTCAGTTGTTTCTCCATTGCCGGACAATTTAATCTCATTAATATCAACCGACAGCACGTAGAAACTAATCATTGATGTCACATATTATCCTAATAGTATATAACATCCTATTAAACCTTTAACTTATTTTCCGTAATGAAACTACTTCTTTTAAGACACCATATATAAATTCCCATCTACAGTGGCACTTTCCCTCGATCTCGATTATCGCACGAAAATCGCTTACCCTATAAGGCAGTGCTTACTACGAAAATACTTCTCTGCGATATCACCTCGGTGGAAGCGGACGTAAAATACAACTAACTAACAACAACAACGAAACTACTGTATGTGTTATATGTTAACAGTGTCGTTCACCATATGCTAAAGTTCTGTATGTCTTTTAGAAGCGATTTAACTATCAATGTAATTTTAAAATACCATTTTACGAAAATGATTTACATCACCACAAGTAATTCTCATTTCGGACGTCTTTCTTTCATTTGCTGCCGTATAAACACAGACTCGTAATTTTGGAGGAATATTACTGCCGTGAATTTGATTGAAGCAGGCACGGATCGACAAATTTCATCCTATCGTATTACGAAAGCATGTAATTTTGTAGGAATATTACTGACATAAATGTGAATACCATACGGGAATTAAATAATGAATAAGCGATTGCCATGCAAGATACGCCCACATTTTTGAAGAGATGGACAGAGATGAACTTGAAGCCGAAGCAGGATCGGCAAGCTTTCATTCAATCAATACATTACGAAAACACGTAATTTTGTACGAATATAAATAAAATAAAACCAAGTACGAAGTCCTAAAAAACGTTATAGGCAAAATAGTGTATTCAAGCAAAATAGTGTAATCAGCAAATGGACTGCTCCTCGTGTACAAAATACACGACAAACAGTGGTAACAGGTTTCCGGAAGAGTAAGCTTACCCTGCCTGGCGCCACACCCGCCATAGCTGCATCCAAACTATTAGGCGAAATGTCGGTAAAATAGCGTGATTGGCCAATGAACTATCGGTATGCAAAATGCACGCGATGAACTGTGTTAACGATGTAGTAG